GGGGAGATGAGCGCGAGAGTATGTGGAAAGGAAGGCGCATTTCCCTGGGATCTCGGGCCATGTCTCCGGAGTGTGCCAGACATGACAAATAAATATCATTTGTGCGCAGATCTCATGTTTCAGCATGTGATTGCCGCACTTTTTGCCACTGGCTGTTGCTCAATTGTTTGTCAGGGTGAAACCGTGGCGCTCTTGACGCGGTGGTCCAATTGTTTCCATGGAAGATCCAACAGCCCATTCTTCGCAACTTGTTTGCTCTCCTCGCTACCTCTTCGCGTTTTTGTGGACCACATTCCTCCTCTGCCTCTTCGCGTTCGCACGTCTGGTGCCATCAATGGAATAATAATGTTTTTTCTGCTTAAATGTCGCCTCAAATACGCCTCGAAAACCCAGCCACACATCGCGGAGATTATCTCAGCGAAGGTCGCATCAATGATGAAGATGACACACTCAACTGATGGCCACGGTGCCAGTAGGAATTTCCACACTCTGTCGTTAGACAGCCAAGAATGGTGTGGAGGAGAGAAGAAGCACACCTTGACGCTTCTCAAGATGATTGTTGCATAGCCAAGAGAATGGCCAAAGGAGGTTTACGGGTAGGTGGAAGGCGCACGGTCAGATGCTCTCTGTCCCGTTCTCGCCAGCTGTCCTCTCTTGCACACTTCTTAGAAGACATCTGGGAAATTGCGCAATTGTGCCCATCGTCGGAGTTGTGGAGAAATACATAGTTAGAGGCTATCTATTAGTCATCCGGAGGTGATTTTCTCAACACGCAATGAGACCCCCTTTTGGGAGGATGGAAGGCTGAGGGAAGTGAGTTCTGACTGAGCACGAGGGAAGACGACAACGCTCGATTCTATTGAGTGGCAGATAGCGCAATATTATATCGCACAATCGGGGATCTTTGGTGGTGTCGACTCAACTTAAGCAGCACTTAAATTCATTATCACTATTTCAAGTTTACCTCTTTCACAACTACACGGAAAAGTAAAAATTCTCTTTTCACCTATAGACTTTCGCATGAAATGCCCAAAGAGAAGCTTCGCATGGAGCATAAAAAGTCTGCTCTTGAATTTCTTCAGCATGTGATCGGCTTGAAATTGAGTCCAATGAATTGTAAATGGTACTTTAGAGTTTGCCACCATATTAGATTTTCTTGTGGTCTAGAAAATCAAGCATTACCACAATGATTTCAAGTACAATCTCATTTGATGTCTTAGACCTTCGAGAAAACTCCAAGACACCTTGAGAAAAATCTCTTGGCGCTGTGGTGTGGAAGATGTGAGAGACAAACACACAGATGTACTTGGCACATGAAATTCAATGGCAAAAACGCATATAACTCCTTTTTCGCCGCGACAACAAGATGTTGAGCTCTGTGCGATGTTATGTAAATTCCCCGGAAATCCCAAAAAATAGATACAGCGACAAATTGACGAGTCTCTTCGGAGGCTGTTTTTCCTCGCGACTGGGTTGATTTTGCCCGCGCCACTATGGAATAATCACTCAACCACGTATCAGAAGTGTTACCTCCAATGTTTCCAGTACAATTGTATTGCGGAGTATAATAGTTATACCTTACAATTTTTATTTTATTGAGCTATAGTTGTGTAAGAGACTAACTATGCAAAACAAATGGAGTGACTTTGACGAGACCACGTCGAGGTCATGAAGCTGATGTTATGTTAAACATTTAAAGCCAAATACAACACACAATTTATAAATTTTAATTGCAACGATGATGAACACCATTGCATTGCATTACAGCACAGCCACTTTTTCTCTGGCTCTATTCCTATCTCTGTCTCTCGATCCCTGGCGCGATTGTGGTGCATGCAAGAGAGATGATATATCGCGAGCGGAGAGATAGATTAGGAGGAAAAATGCACATCTTCGCGCTGGCGAGAACAATGATAATTTCTGACTTTGCAATTTCATTGAGCGGCATTTTTCCTATTACCCAAGATTCTCCCCCCACAGCTCGAATTCCCCTGTAGATTAGAACTTGACGAAGAGTGAAGAAATTGTGTGCGAAGATGGAAAATTTTGCAGTGTGCGGAGGCTCTTGAGTGATGTGTAACTGAGGAGAACGTCATCAATTCTCGCGCATTTGCAGAGAAGTCCCCAACACACACGAGAGAGAGCTTTAATGCAAAATCTAATGAAAACACATGTACAGTATAGAAGCGCAACTTATTCGATGCAACGCGTGCAAACTGCAAACGGTGCAAAGAGGCCGAGGTCAGAACACCAAAGCCACAGAGTGTTTATGGCCATAACTTGCAATTGTAGCTCTTCGGAGAGAGAAAAAAAAGTCCATAAGGCGCCACGAGAGAGGGGAAGAAGTATTAGATCACCGCGTAGAATCTCGAGACTCGAGGCGATTCTACAACTTGGCATGATAAAGAAGACCTCCAGATCTGCCCATTCATCGTGCCCAAATGCACTGGGTGAATTAGAGAAATTCCGCACGGTGGTCCATTGATGAGATTCTCGTGAGATCGAATGCAAATTGATGGTCTGGCCCGAGGTCGGCCTGCACACCACAGATAAGCCAAGTACATCCACAGACAGTATTTTTCTCCGTGGCGTCAAATCAATGCGAACATTGAGGTGAATCTTCGCCTCGTGCTACAATTTTTCCCCCACATTGAAAATGCGCAGCGATCGCGTTAATTGATAGTCTAAATTGATCTCTCACCATTGAATTCCGCAGATATTCCCGACATCTTCTCACATATTCACCCGCAATACATCTCCAAATTGATTAATTTTCTTACGATGGGGGAGCAGCAGGAGGGACTTTAGCTCAAGGCTTTTCCCCACCAGAACATTCTCGCTCTCTCCCTCATCAATGTCACGCCAGAAGATGACTGTGGAGATTTTCATTGCACAAGGCACGGTAATTGCAAGAGAGGCCAGTCTTATTTTTAACCCAGATATGCTAGTAAAATTCGCGAAATGACCATTCGGAAGGATTTATTCTCAACCAAAGTGAAATACATTTTCATTATCATGGTTTAATGGCTTATCAATGTTTACGTTTGCAATGCATAGCTCGAAGGGTGAAAAGTTTCTCTTCTGGAAAAATGTGCTTAACTGGTTTCACTCGATGAGATAACAAAACTATACATTGTGTATTAATTGAGCGCATTTCCCAATTTCTTCATTCGATCTATACAGCTGTATCTGCTGATGAAATTTTCAAGCTTAGTTTTCAAGACTTAAATTTTATCCTAGGCTTTCAACTTAGATGTGCGAAGAGCGGGGCATAATAACTCAAAACGAAGCTGAAGCCTTTGTCTTCAAATAAGGGTTGAAGCCAAAAAAAACTTCTCATTGACACTTTTCTCGAATCACATCATGCAAATCAATAGTTTTCAGATCTCTTCCTTTTCTGTACACCTCTCTCGAGAGCTCTTTCAAGTGTGCTTGGGATTCTCTTTAGAGGACATTCCTGGGACGCCGTGCTGAGTTGATGTCTCTCGGCTGAATACCAATTCCTCTCATCTCAAGTCCACCGCGCGCGATTCTCAATGAGCACAGCGTGGCTATTTTCATCTCTTGGAAGAAAAGTGTGTTTTCTGTTCGGGAAGGTCTCTCTCGCTCTCTGTGCAAAATTATCTGATGCACCACATCGCCTTGCATTGGATGATGGATGATGATGATGAGGAAGAGGATGTTTGTCGTTTAAGCTGATTTAGCTGTGCAATTGTGTGCTGCAGCCCGCGTTCTTTGTTCTTCCTGCGCGCCTCGCTGCCTCGGGCGAGAGGAGTGCGCTCAAATTGGCAGGACGCCGGAGGGATTCTCTTGGCAATTTCACCCTCAGGGGTAGGCATTATTGATTGTAGCGCCGCGATGGTCGAAAATATGGTGTGTCTCTTGTCGCAGCTCTTCAACTTGCTGCTGCTGCTGATTCTGCCACCCTCGGAAGGTCTCGTCTATATATAGATCCCAGAGAGGCAGGCGAGTGTGTTAGGGAGAGAACGAGGTCGTCGACGTTGCTGCTGGTAGTTTTTTCCTGCCTCTTTCACAAGAAGTGACGTGAGAGGAGAAAATTTTCCTCCGCGTCGACGTCAACGCAGCCCACCAATACCAGAAAGGTATGGTGCTTCGGAAGGGAGACAGACAGAGAGGATTTTCCCTGTGCCGAGGGTGAATTCAATTGAAAATCTCGGCCATCGTCTTAGTTCAAAAATCCTCGAGCTCGGGAGCACACATCGCGCCCGGGATTGAAGTGCACACACAAACTGTGGGACATCCTCCATCCCAAAACCCCCAAAGAACTTTCGCGGAAATCTATTTTCGTCCCAACCTGGCACTGTGTTGAGTCGTGCGCTCGTGTGGGTGTCGGAGTGCGAATAAGGTTTTATCACAATTGTGTGGCGATTTGAGTGTCTCCACTGTGAATTAATACCTATCATATTGGTTGTCCTTCAAAGACTTTTCTTCAAGACATTTTCTCCACTCTGTGCAGTTGAGTTCTCTCTGTGGCTTCGGTACGTGATAAGAGCTGAAAACTGAGACGCTCGTGGAGGCACGGAGCAACCGCAAAAGTGGTCACATAGCCACAAAAGTGCTATATTGGTGAGGAGAAATACAGCCTGAGGAAGGTTGTTTGGTGAAGAGTTTGAGAGTGTGTGGCTTGCATTTTGCATTCTTCTGCGTGCAATTTTCCGCCTAATCTCGAGGGTATCGCGAGCGGTCTTTATCAGCAATTGGCAACGGGGGAGGCACTCATCAGCGATAAAGCCCATCTTATTTGCTCAACACTTTGCTGAGAAATATGGTACGTGTGGGTGACAAAGAAGAGCTCCCTTTGACTCGAATTCCTCTGAAAGACTTAGTATGCCCTCCTTGAGGAATTTGTTTTTCCCCAAGTCAGTGAAGAGAAGCAATTGGTAATAGCAAATTGTTCGATTTATCCGAATTTATTGCAGAAAATAGCTCAGTGTTGTGCAATTTCCGCGAAAACTAACGCAATTCTCTCTCATCTGCAGGCGCATCACCTGGTGTGGGTAATTTTGGCACGTGAAAAGCGAGGAAAATGGATGCCCCATCGATGGTGCAGCGCTCGGGGGACACTCTAATTGTGCGGAGTGTCGTGAGTGGCAATCAGTTATTTCTGGACAATGGTCAGGCGCTGCCCAGTTCAGCTGGAGAAGCCCTGCTGCCGCTGAACTACACAGACGAGTGCCTGGACGAGGCCATCGACGAGGAGAGCATTGAGGAGGACGGCGAGGAATCACCCCCGGACCAGGTCAAGGACGAAGAGTTGCCACAGTGCAAAATCAAGAGAAACTACTCCTGCAACAGCTGCACGTACTTTACGCAGAATCCGCGCCTCTATCTCACGCACCTGCGGGACAAGCACGGTGAGAAAATCGTCATCAACGAGTGCAAGCACTGCCTGTACGCGTCCAGGCATTACCAGAAACTGGTGCGACACATGAAAATGGTGCACGGATCCACGGAGGGGCTGGAGGAGCACCATCAGTCCCGGAAGCGCGCCCACCAGATGATCAGGGAGATCAAGAAGCGTCGCGTCACAGAGGACACCGTCCCGTCCACCGAGTCCGAAGAGGCGCCCCCCTTCGGGAGCACCCACGGTGTCGGAGAGCTCAGCAAGCTGCTCAAGTGCAGCGTGTGCGACTTCACCACCCTCAGTCGCAGCCAGCTGACGGATCACGAACGCAATGACCACATCAAGACCAAGTTCTTCAGGTGCAGCAAGTGCAGCTACGTGACTCACATCAAGGCGCGCTTCAGCAAGCACGTGAAGTACCATTCCATGCCCATGATCAAGTGTATGATGTGCGATTTTCGCACGCCGTACAAGTGGAATCTGGATAGGCACATGAAGAATCACGGCGGCACTGGACCCTTCAAGTGTGCCGCGTGCAATTTCACCGCCGATATCAAGCAGAGTCTCACCGTGCACGAGATGAACCATCACGTGCCGCCCGTGGGACACGCCTCGGGAATGAGCATGCACAGGCGAAAGAACAAAGTGGGAGGAACAGACGTGCCAGATGACCCGACAGACGAGCTAATGTACCGTGAAAACACTGATTCAGACATGGTGAGTGATTTGCAGAGTCTCCTTTTCCTTTCAACCCCAACGATACAGCCAAAATCCACTCAATATATCATGCTTCTAAAGACTTGCCTGACTTTGTGCATTTCTTATTGCATTGCACGGAGGAAATTTTATTGATAGCTTTTCAACAAAGATGCTTTGCAAATCTGGCGAAAAATGCTCAAACAAAACATCTCCTTTAAAGTTTTAAAAGCATTCTAGAATCCTTAGATTTATACAATTTTTCACGCTAAAATGCCTCTGGGTGATATTTTTTTTACAGAATTTTGACGAATCCCTTCCACTGATTGTGAACAACAACAATCGCGATGTGAAGCCCTTCAGTTCAGATATGGTGAACGATTCGGGCTTCCTCTCATCCTCCGTTTCGGATCACACAGTATCCCCACCGTCTGGTGTGAAGAAGGTGCCACGACCAATTCCCAATCTGATACCGATCCAGAATGCCACCACCGCCCTCAATTTGTCCGTTGGCCGCAAGGTTGATGGCGCCGCGCAGGCAATCACAGACCTATGTGCCAATTCATCTACGAGTGCTCTCAAGGACTTCGCCTCCCTCTTTGCGGGCGGCAAGGAGATTTTCTCCGAGACATGCTCAATTAAGAGTGAGGCCCCGCCGCAAATGTCTCCTTCATCCACGAACTCTTTCAAGAAGAAGCACGCGAGCTTCTTTGACAAACTACGCGAGAAGTGCGTCACGAATTCTGGCGTGGGCACGAATATGACATGCTCCTGTGGACACGTCTCCAAGTGTCTCTCTGAGGCACTCATTCACCAGGACTCGTGCAAGAAGCAACTGGAGAACAATCGCAAGAGCACTTCACCCATCAATCTCAGCATGAATGTGGGCTCCACCAGGTGCCAAATCTGTCGTCATAGATGCAAGTCCAGCGCTGATCTCATCGCCCACATGCAAACGTGCGTGGAGCAGAAAAGCATCGGTGGCGACTCCATGGAGGACTCTGTGTCTGAAGTAGAGAATTCAGACAAAGGAGAGGGTCAGGATGAGATAGACGATGCTTCGAATGACAATCAGAAGGAGCCCCATCCGATGGAGAATGTGGTGTTTGTATGGAATAAGATGCCTGAGCATCCAGACCAGTTTGTGACTGCGAAGCAAGAGCCTCAAGCGGCTGGCAGCACTCCTGATCCAGAGCCCACGTCCCGAGATGATCCCAATACATATTGTGGAGTGGAAACGGCACCCGGTTATGGTGAAGTGACGAAGAAGATGCAGAAGGTTGAGGAGCAGACGCCCAACTCTTGTCTGAAGAAGGTGTTCAAGTGTCCTCATTGTTCCTTCTGGGCATCCACAGCATCACGGTTTCATGTCCACATTGTGGGACATTTGAATAAGAAGCCCTTCGAGTGCTCGCTCTGCTCTTATCGCTCGAACTGGCGCTGGGATATCACGAAGCACATCCGGCTAAAGACCATCCGAGATCCTTCCCACAAGACAGCCCGGGTGTTGATGAATGACGAGACAGGACGACGGAATTATACAAAGTACAACAGATATATTACACTTATGAAAGTCACTGATGAGGATGGGAATCTCAAATTGATGAAGTCTGGTGAGATGACACCAAACCAGGAGGCAGCCCTGCAATCGCCGAATCTGAGCGCCAGCGGGAAAACCACTCCAGATTATGCGATGCTGAAGAAATTGAATCAGAATGAGAATCTCCAAGTGGCGCCGGTACTTCAGGATGCACCGCCCTTCGTCACGATTGCTTTCAAGAATCTTGAGAAGAACAATCTCATCTCTGTCCAGGATCTGCCTGGCTTTATGATGACCACAGCTGGAGTGACGAGCGAGAGCATTGCAGAGACATTTGGGGCGCTCACGGCCAAGTCCACAAATCAAGAGAGTGACTCCAAGAAGACCCTCTTCAAGTGCAAGAAGTGCCAGTTCAAGTAAGAACCTAAGATTCTATATAGCGGAGAGGAAAATATCCTGCCAAATGAGTGAACGGTTGTAATGTCAGTGTTTTCATTTGCAGACACGCCAATCGCGAAACCGTGCTGGCTCACGTGAAGAGACACTACGAGGAGGCGGGTCTCATGTTGGACAACAGTGCCTCGTGCGGTGACAAGAAGCCCCTCATCGGACTGCCCGAAGACTTGAAGCAAGCGTTGACGGGCCCCAAGTGTGAGGCTCTCATGGCGCCGCAAATGCCGGCGGCCGCAATGGTGCTGATACCCAGCAATAATAACAATAACAATACAAATGAGAACGGTGAGCTGGATGAGGCAAGTTCTGGGGGTACTACGGTGATGCCTGGCTGGCGAGGTGCTGCAGCAACATACCGCTGTGGCCATTGTCACCAGGTTTCAAATTGGAAGCATGTCATCCAGGTATATACTAACCAATATCATAATTCAGTGAAGGTCTGACACTCTTTCAATTGGAAATCTATACTCTATTCCAAACTTTCCTCATTCTTAACTCAGTATAGTGGGCAAAAAGAAGAGAAAAATTTCTTCCATGGATAAAGAACAGTCACATCTTCACTGGAGTCTATCATTATGGCTTTAACTAAACCAGAAAAGGGATTGTTTTAATATTTTACTTATAGAGTCAAACTATTAAGGAAAGTACAAGAGATTTTGTTTCTTATTATCTTCTCTCAGAAGAATCTGATGTGAAGTATTCACTTTGGTTCTGGGCTTCTCTGGATTAAACGTATAATTCTTAACTTTTGGATCTTAGCAGGGCTCTAAAGACAGTCATCAGGAAATTCATAATAGCTGAAGTCTTGAAATTCTCGTAAATTGAATGGATATTTTCTAAAATGTTTATGTGTGACAAGATTGAAGCTGTATAATTTCATGAAACTTTAGAGTCCTTTAGAACATTTTTTCATCTTGGTTCTCATTTCGTATGCACAAATTAATATTATTTGGGGGTTTTTGGAGGCAATAATTTTTCTGTGAATTTATATTAACTAATTCGGGTGCACCCAATAAGTGATTAGACAATTTTTGCTCTATGAATAATAAATAATAATAAATGGGAAAAATTAACATGGAGTGAATTTTCATAAATTCTCTCTAAGATTTGACATAATTTTTCCAAGTAATGAAGATTAGTTTATGGAGTAGACTTTACCTTGCTTATTGCTAGTTTTTTTTTCTCTCTCTTTCATTGTATGAATAACTGAATGTACTGTATTTTTGCGTCTATTTGTCATTTCAGCGTCACTGTCGCTTAAAGCACAATGGGGATATACAAATTGAGTTGATGGAGGCAAATGGGAAGGTGGCACTGCGGAAGATCACGAGCAGCACTCAAGTACCTGCACCAGTACCAGTTAATTCGGCAGCACAGGCAGCACAGGAGAAGGACAAGGTTCAGGGCGGCGCGTCGGAGGAATCTTCTGTCCTCAAATGCCATATTTGTCCATTCAGTGTGTCCAGCAAGGAGAGTGAGATCTTCCGAATTCACATGATCAAGCACACGGAGGAAGCGTCTGATTCCAAGAAGAGCAGCCAAGAGATTCCAGCCAAGAGACAATCCACAGAATCTCGTGCAGTGGTCAAGAGCAAGAGGTACAACTGCACCGCTTGTCCCTACGTTACGGACAGCAAATCCCAGTTCGTGTATCACAAGTCTTTCCACAAGCCACGTGGGGAGCAGTTCAAGTGCACCTACTGCACCTACAATGTGACCAAGAAACATTTGCTGAACCAGCACGTGAAGCTGCATCGCAACGAGGAAGTGTCTGGAGCATCTCGAGATAACAAGAAGAGTCAGGATGTTGAGCATCAGCCAGTAGTGAAGGCAAAGATCACACTTCCAACTCACGATGGTGAGATGACAGCGGATCGTCGATCACTCCAGTTTTGCGATAAGTGTCCAGCGAGATTCCTCTGCGAGAAAGAAGTGAAGATTCACATGAAGACTCACTCAAGTGGATTGCAATATCGATGCACTTATTGCACATTCTCAGCTCGGCAGGAGTCTCTTGTGCAGACTCACGCTATCATTCACAGTGGCCAGTATCAGGAGGAGACGAAGGGTCTCGAGCAGAAGTACAAGATCTCCAGTGAGAATCCAAAACCAATTATATCGTCGTACAAAGTTGAGAATGCCTCAGACATGTGGATTGTGGGCAATGTTCCCCCAAAGATCGCAACAGTCACCGCTGAGGAGGATCACGAGGCGCAGAAGGAGCAGAAAATCACCAGAAACTGCCCTCACTGTCCGTTCGTGGTGATCTTGACAGCGGGAAATGAGGGAAACGGTGAAAAGCAACTGGAAGATCACATTCAGCATCATGGAGGTTCTTCCAGCGGCAAGTATCGAGTGTCCTGCAATTTTTGCGACTTTGCCACGAATACCGAGAAGGCCCTGAAGGAGCATACAAAGTGGCACTTTGCGAGCTCCAAGAAGAAGAACCACAATGTGGAGTTTTTCACGAAGATCGAGAATGTGCAGATCTACAAGGGCGAAGGCGAGGAGGAGAGGAACTTCCCCGAGAAGGCTGAAGAGGACAAATTCGGTGCGGTCATGTTTGAGGAGCAGAAGAATGTTCTGGACTCGCGATCACCACTGGCGGAGGAGAACAAGATCTACATCAATTTGAAAACTGGTGAAATCATCAAGAAGCACGCGAGTAGATTTTAAAAGATCTAGCTAATTTATAACTTTAAATTCTAGTTAATTTCTCTATTCTTTCTCTTCGTATTATTGATCTTTAATACTAAATTTACGGTTGCAATATTTTCTTCTTTATATGCATTAACTTTGTACATTGAAATTTCCATTATGAGTTTATTCTATTCATGTAACTTTACGACAAAAAAAAACAAACCATGGGCCATTACCAATAATTTATTTTAAATATTTTCTTGGAGTGTGAAGAATATGTGAAGATGCAGAAGTGTCACTTTAGATTTAGTCTTGAATGGAGGAATAAGAAACCATGTAACATCTCACCAAATCACAATTGAAGTCATTTTAAATAGTTGAGAAGATTCTCGTGTCATTGTAATAACGAAAATTACCATTTTACCATTTATAATTATTATTTAAATGAAGTAAAAATACAAATAATATATAATAGTAGAAAATCTATATTTGTTTTTGTCCTATTAATTCAATTATTAACTCTACCATAGAATACTTTAGTGAGTGATTAGTGAATTAGGCAAAGGAAAGAGGATATTAGTGGACATCGTGATTTAGGAAATGCTTTAACAATGTTAGAATGGAATATTTTACCACAGGAAATTCACACAAAAAAAATGAAGAAAACACATGGAACCAATTAGGTGGAAATAGAATGTAGAGTTGGTATATAAATTCACATAAATGTAGAAAAAAAATAAAATGGCAAGGAAATCAATTATTTCAATTGAATCATTATAAGAATATACAAGAAATGATGTAACGTAGAAGTAGTGAACACAAATAAGATAAATTTTTACCAAAGCATTTTTGCCAAATGAATCCTAATGTATAAGTGAAATATTTAATATATAGATATACAGGAGATGTAAAATACAAATTATATACGCGGATGTTTGGTAAATAAACTTGCATCACACATCAATATTTTGCATTTTCTCACTCGCTTCTTGCGAAAAGAATAATTTAAATATAACTCTCAATGTTTTTCGCTAAGATTCAAGAGTGCTTTCAAGGGTAGAAAAGGTATGAAAATTCAGTATCCTCAGTTTTTTCCTTGATAAAGAGAATCTTCAGAACTCAAATATAACAGCAAATCCACATGTCTTTTCAAACGTAACGAACTTGTCCCAAAAATCACAACGCGTTCCACAATCCGTGTGACAGGTTCACCATTCCAAGGAAAATCGGCAACAGCGCACTTCTGTCAAGATTTTCGGCTTGGTGTGTGCTTTTAAAAGCAACTTCTTCAACAAATTCGGCGTTTTTCTCTAAAATTACGAGTTTTTCTTGCTTCTAAATTGTGTAAGTATACCAAAACTACAATTTTAAAGTAGAATAGAGTGAAGAAGAGCGTTTAGCAAGAGGGAATGTGTGTTAAAATCCAGGTTGAAATCGTCATTCTATTGTTTGTCAGTGAGAGGAAGCTGCAAAAGGCTATTTCACCACTTTTCACGCTTCTTTTGGGGATTTTCAGCAGTTCTGAGCAATAAAATGCATTCCTGCGCTGATCCTTGCATGAAAAAAGAGATTTTCAGGGGCGGAAGCGCGAGAAATGACGGGAATAACAATTCATGAATGGCGCTGTGTAGGTCAGTTTTCATGTGCTTCTTTTTTGTTGGTCGATATAGAATTTCACGCCGCCGTGATGGGGAAAAAGAAGCAGGACAACTCTTCGTCTGATTCGGAGGGCGAGAACGAGTATCAAGTGGAGTCGATCATAGATCGTCGGGTGAAGAAGGGCCGAGTGGAGTATTACATCAAGTGGGAAGGATACTCGGCCGAAGACAACACCTGGGAGCCGATTGACAATCTGGATTGCCAGGAGCTCATAGAGGAGTTCGAAGCATCGCGACCGTCTTCGTCCAAAGATGACTCGAAGGACTCCATCTCAGTGAGTGTATGCATTGAAGTTAGTTGCCGTGCGATGTCTAATTTCTTGCCTTTCCCTTGTGCCCAGAAGTCAAAGCCTCGAAAGTCCGGCAAGCGCAAAGGAATCGACGATGAGTCCGATGATGAGAGCGTGACGAAGAAGGCGAAGAAGATTCCAGCCAGCTCCGATGACAGCGACAAGGAGGGCGAGACGGAGGCCAAAAAGGAGAAGCCAGAGAAAAGCAAGACTAAGAAGCCCAAAAGCACAGATTCTGACAACCACAGGGCGAAGAACGGCGACACGAAAGAGCTCGTGCCGGAGACCATTCTAGGTGCTACGGACATCAACGGACCCCTGATGTTCCTGATCAAGTGGAAGGGCACTGACAAGGCTGAGCTGATTCCCGCCAAGGAGGCCAATATCAAATTCCCTCAGGCGGTGATCGCGTTCTATGAGCAGAGACTCATTTGGCACTCCGTGAAGGACAAAACTAGTACTTAAGCAAGTGAAGATACCTTTTCCCCGATGTTCTTTTCTTCAAATAGTATCCAGCAATTCTGAGATAGAGATTTTACGCGAGGGTGCAACCTTTGCCACACTGAAGTATCTTAATTTTTAAGTTTTTTTTTTAATACGATATTCTATCCGAATCATCCTTTATGATTTTCCGTTAATATAGTTAATGTTACGTTACACTCAATCTCAGAATTGACACACGCAGAAGTGAATTCTCAGTATTCTGCGACTTCCGCCTAATTGAGAGACCCCAAAGGAGACGTTCCGACCGGAAATGTGTCTCTACATTCCCGTTCTCCCTGTTTTGATTGGATCTTGAAACAGAATGACGAACATAAAATTGTTTGAATTAGATATCAATTGATATTCATCCAATTTATCAAACATTCGGGAAACATTGTTTGAAATTATGAAGTATTTTGTATTAAAAATGAATTATTCAATAATAATATAACTAGTTTGATTTACTCCTTTCCCAGCTAGTCCGGCTGCCTGCGTGTTTGCTTAAGGATTCTCTGCAAAAAATGAAATGTTCGCTCATAAATTGGCACATTACTTCCAATGTTAGAATGTGTATTCATTTACATCATAATTCGTGGCACTAAAAACAATTTTATTACACTTTCTCAAACTCGTGGACATCATCAGAGCGGTAATATTGTATAGAAGCCGAATTAAGTCGTTGGCTTCAGCTCCTTAGAGTGTCGTGAGAACAGGAGCAGTATGCGAATGTGCCTCAGCTTTGCCGTGTTGCGGAGTCGCGTGAAAGATTTAGGGACTTTCGGGCAGTGCGTGAGTGTTGGAACGGGCGAAAAAGGTGGGAAGCGTATTGGCGATAAAGATGTGAGGAGTCCAAAGTGATATTGGACGATGGTCACAATTTATTTTGGTCCTCCCTCCGCCTTGGCCAGAAGACAAAAGCTCCGCGATTCAAGTGCCACCCGCAAAAGTCACACTGTGTGTCCGTTGGCACACGTTTATTCTCATGAAGAATTATGTTGCTGTATATTTATTTATTTATACGCACACTCGATATTCCAAACCCACGACAGAGTGAGTAAAGATGTTGGTGAGGGAGATTTTCACATGCTACAGATTCACGGCTAGGATCCCCATCTAGTTGCTGTCCACTGCACGACCGTTCAAGTTGTCCCTGCGACCTCGTGGGTGAGCTGAAAGTTGAGCCTCCTGTGCACGAGCCCGTGAATCTATCCGGATCCCTTTCCCTCCTTGTGATCGGCGAGAGAAACCAAAACCAAAAAAATGTAAGAAAAGAGGCCACAAGAGCCCCAGGAAAATCCACGGACTGTGAATATCCCTATCGATTGCAGCAAGATGCATGAGTCCGGCAGTCTCATAGTCACCTACATGATCCTCCTGCTGCTCCTCGCCCTCCTCTGGATGCTCTACGCTGGCGTCTTTTAGGCCGCACACCATTCAGTGCTTAGACAATGCGGAGTGCTTCAATTTCCCCATCACCTCCCCATAGACAATCCTCCCATGGACGGACTGGCAGTGCCGCTGGACTACAAATTGTGCAAAAAGGTTAGTGTCTTCCTCAGTTTTCTCCTCACATTTCCTCCTGAGAAAATTCCACCACACATTCCACAGAGTCTCCGAAAAAATATAATATTGACAAAAATACTCTGCACCTCGTGACATTCACACATCTTCCTTGGCCAGAACTCTGCACGAAAATAGTTGTTTCATCCAGGAGACATAATATGAAAGATTGGCGTATTGCCGAGAAAGAGTGAAAAATTGTAATCAATCTTGTCTTTTTTGCCACAAACCACCCACTCTATTAGGCGTGATTGACACCCTCCGCCAGAGAAATGAGGAATAATTAATTTGAGATGGATTTTCACGTTGGGCGGAGAGTGAAATCAGGTGTGGAATGTCTCACGCAGAGACAAGGAGTCGAATATGTTGGGAGATTCACGCGTCCCAGTTTATAAATCACTCCAGTGGGATCGAGAAGGCAACATTGGGCTATTTGTAGAGGAGAAGTGTACGTTTAGGATTGGGAAATTTCGGGAAACTTGTCAAGCTGAAATATTGCGTGAAATATTAAAATTTTCAACCAGAGTTCTTGTGCTTCTGTGAATACTACCAAAGAGAAAATGGAAAATCCAAGCAGAGATTTACCAAGGCCCATGAAGTGTGGAATAGAAATACAAAATGACTTATTTACAACAATAATATTGAAAATACTTCAATTCATGCTTAGACGTTCTGACTGATCTAAGCGATCTAAGTATCATCCAGTTGTTATCTGGCTGAATTTAAGATAAAAATTCTTTAATTATCCTCCGAATTAGATCCAAAATGCTTTGGTAAAAAGTTTGTTGGTGTACAAAATTCAAAAATTATATCAAAGATTGTAGATTTGGTGGATTCCATTCTTGCAGTGTCAACTGTCCGGGAACAAATGACTTTTAATTCAATAGTAATGAGAGTTTAAATAAAAAGAAGAAATAATGAAGAACTGTTCATTCTTACTTTAAAGCTCGAGTTAAAGAATTTATCAGGGGCATGAGAAAAGAAGGGATGGCGAGGCTACTTCGTTCTCAGATGTTTTCATAAATACACTGATAATACCGACTCACTCTGAGCCATTCCATTGACAGTTGGGAAATAATTTTTCCCATCAGACCGATTTTTAAAACACTGAAATCTGTCGTCAACAAGAAGTTTGCACATCCTTTCTAAATGATCATCGCTTAGCAAATTAGCCGAGATTTTTTATTTTAGTAAATTTATTAACTCTGCGTCGCCGAGGAGGAATTGTGGCCAGGATGGCAGAGGAATTCTGTGGCTGCCTGGGCGCAGAATTTATACGGATGACGTGAGAAATTGAACGCGATCGCCGCCGAAGATCATAAAGTATTTTTCATCCAGGCGGATTATGATTTAAAAATATACCCACGACCGGGAGGATGCTGTCAATTGTGAGGCTCGCTGGTGGGGATCATGTGAGGAGAGAGGCTCAATGGCAGGAGATGCGCCCTATATTTCTATGTGATGATAGAGCGACGGCGTGCAGAAAATTTTGCGCCAAACACCGCGGATGATCAGTGGGTGGGATTCCGCCGTCGTCCGGGAACTCATCATATTTTTACGAGACTATCCAGTCATTCTTCGGCAGTCAATTGAAACGGAACGTGTGATCTCGTTCCCGGACAATTCACTCGCACTCTCTTGCATTTCGCTTTTCTCGCGGCCTATCGAAGACCGACTGTGAGTAAGAATCGCCATCGCGAGCATCACACACTCGAGAGTAACATTGCAATCCGCATTTCTAGGAGGAAGAAAAAATGAGTGAAACCAGGAATTTGATGACCACTTTTCTCATCCTCACCATCCTTCTTCTCCTCTTGTGGATCTTCTACTCCAGTGTTGTGTGAAATGAGGCGCCCGTCATCACACTTTTTCGGGTAAAGATTCCGGCTTTCTCTCGTGATTACTCTCGCGGGGCGAAATTGTGAAAACTACCGGAAGAGTTTGTCTCCAAGAAAATGTGTGCAACATTAGCTGCGCTTTTAATGTGCATTCTCTGGCGAAATGATGTGAGAGGAACTAAAATTAGGCGGAAGTTGCAATATCGCTTAATTATCTCAATGCACGCTCGAAATGGATGGAAGAGTGGAAACACTGACGTCGGAATAATTGAAATTTCCCAGATTTTCCGAGATATTTTAATCGATTGGAAATGCATGTGATCAAAGAGGCACAAGAACTTTGGATTTGAAGTGATCAGTGCAAATTTCAATGGAATTCAATGGAAAATTCAAGCAAAAAACACACTTCTAATGTTTCTTTATCTGCGAGCTATAAAGTCAACGAAACGAGTTCCTCAGAAACCACAATAAATTTTGAGTTATAAACAAATCACTCTCAGTCAGGTGTTGTAAAGATTCTAATCTCTGCAGAATGTTCTGAAAGACTTCAATCGTCAAATTTGAAGAAGAAAACCATCAAATCTCGTGAGATCCTCCAATATTTCAGATCCTCATCGACAGATTTAAACCAAAGCAGTAAAAATCTCGCATTGAGGCTCATGAGTGTCGTTAAAGAAAACCACAAATCACCGAAATGAGGTGATCATAAAAATTGGAGGTCTTTAGCGAATAAAGCGCGAAATAATTAATAAAAATTTTGATGGATTTTTATCTCAGTGCGAGTCGAACGCTGCCGCTCATCATATTTTCTTGGCATTAGACATCCAATTTCTCAAGGCATTATTTACGCTTTTTCACGAGAAGAAACTATAAAGAATCATAATGAACAAATAGGCGAGAGACCCCCTAAAAATATCTCTGGACATCGCATGAGGGGGGCTTCGACTTGCCACCAAAAACTTCGTTTAAGTTTGTTGTTGTAGATTTTCCACCCACGCCAATACATTTTTGCGTTTTTCCTTTGCGTTTTTTGATATGAAAATGTGGGATATTTTTAGATAAATTATTGTTTTCTCCTTTGAGCATGGTATGAGATATCTGTTGCATACAACTAAACCTCTTGAGAATATTACGCAAAAATTTTTCACTTTTATGTTTGAGTAGAAGACAGTCTGAGAGGCAGAGGAGAACAAGAAGAAAGATGAGAGATATGAAGCATACACTTTCAGGAGTGGTTGAAATCCAAAATTATTAATTTATTAATAAATAGGCGAAAAACGTGATATAGAAAACGGTTAGAAATATATTTTGCATGAGTGTAAAGAATAAAATTGTTCTCTGAATCTAATGGATTCTCATGCGTGGACGTCTATTTTCAGATGATGTAGCCGTTTAGAGGGAAGGAGGGCGAATTCCGCCACCATCCATGGGAATACTTGGTCATCCACATACATATTTATCGCCAAACATCACTTTTTATCTGTTCATCGCGCCAGAGTCAACATAATATCCCCTCTAACCAGCCAATAAATTTGCTGATTTCGTACTAACAACTTGTGTCTGGAAATTTATACAAATATGCATATATTTATTTAATAACACACAAAAAACTTCATTAATTTCTTTCTATACATATATTGCTAAATGCGTTCTTTTGAGAATTGATGAAAAACAACCAGAAATTTGTAACTCGTTCGAGGAAAAACATCGAAAAAACTGAACATCACAAAAAGCAGCATCTCACAGCTTTGTCAAAAGATGAAGAGAATACGAAATTTTCTTCTAGACTATAATTTCTATACATGTATTTTGTCTCTAGGCTAATTAAGGCATATTTATAAACATGTAAATTATCACTAGATGTCTTAAAATATGGGATACTCTTAGATTTACTATTACTTGTCACTTATATTTGGAGGAAAAATGTGTAGAGAAGCATTTAAAAAGAGGGATTATACACTATTTTGTAAGATTATATAATTTAGCTAAGAGAAGCCAATAGAAATACAAAAAAAAATGTCACTATTCTTATTGTTATATACAAAGTTAATGAAGAAGTGGTGAAAGCATTGTTCTGTGTACGACGAAATTCAAATGAGAAAAAGAACCATCATTTTATGAGCATGAATTTCGAATAAAAGCGGTCTTATGTCTGAATTCGAGCGTATGTTTATTCACACAGCTTTTATAAATAGGTCTCTTGATTGATCTCAGATGATGGAATTTATCTGCATCGCACTTATTCTTCACATCGACGTCATTGTTTCGATGTTGTCATTCTTGTCTTGCTTCAGCTGAGCATAGTAATCAGCCGACAGACCGGAATTCATTCTTGTTGCTATCATAAGTCTCACCCACTCCGGCACCATCTTCATAAACGCGTACTGAAAGGAGAGCGAGAATATTCTGTGTCAATTTAAACATGTTTCTCTGCTTTCAAGAGCCATTCCATGCGTCAATATTCAATCAACTACAGAGCTCTCCACATGAGTGCTTCAATAAGACATGATCCAACTGTTATACTCCGTGAAAAACTTGAAGCTTTCAGTGACCAATTTGCCCAATTTAAAGTACACTGTATATTCGTGTCTCTCGCGTTTTATGAAGACGATTGAGAAATGTGTGTTGAATTTTTTGATTAAAGTAAACACACTTTTGTACATTAAATATTTGGATGATCTTTTCCTCGTCTTCAGTGGACGTTGAAGGTGCTCTTTAAGAGTTTCGGTAATGTAGGGGAAAGTAGGGCAAATCTTGTCACTGCCTTTCTTTTGCACAGCTATTAAAACACACAGATATTATAGAATGTCATGTGAGGACTTAAAATGGTGAAAAAATAATTAGGAAAAAATGGGGTTGAGTGAAATACAAAGATTTCGCGATTGCGGATTTTTGCTTCGTTTAATTTGTCTTTGTCTATTAAACCAATTTCACCATTTAATTAATTACTCACATATTTTTTATTGTAATTAACGTATTCGGATGTCGAAATTGTTTTGGAAAATTCTTAGAAATGCTGTATATTTCCACCCAGCAAAGTCAATTTTGAACTTATTGGGCGGAAATACCTCACTCTCTCCTATCTATTTTGGGCAGCACAATTGGTCGTTAATTTTTCATTAAAAATTTGTAGGAATGCGCAGAGTGCAGGAAACATCTGGCTTTACAAAACAAATTAGCGTAGTATAAATTGTTCAACATTTACCTGGACAGCGTGAGACCAATACCCAGTCGTTTGATCAGATTTTCCCAGTGTGAAAATCATGCTGCGAGTGTACATCTTCACGTCGGGAATCATGATGTTGCTGGTCATGAGTCGCTCTGAATATTGGTTCATCTTCGTGACGACAAACATTGGTGACACGAGCTGCACGGTGATGCCATATGGCGCCAATTCGTTACGGATGGCCAGCGTGAAGTTCCGCACATAAGCCTATGGACAAGAGCAGAGAGCGTGAAAGGAGATCGATGGCCCCCCCAAAGAGAGACTAATTGATGCGATGTCTTTGACAGCGATGATGATCAAAAGAGTCGCAAATTTGGCACTTTTGGGCCATTTGCTTCACGCGCAATTCTCCCGTTGGAACATTTTATTTTTACCAAACCATAATATATTCTCGTGGTTTTTTGATTCAAGCAGAAGCTTCTCGACTGAGTTGTTTACTTTATATTTAGATAAGTCCGAGATAAATTTATACATTCCTTTACATTCTCAATGCGCGCACCATTCCATTCACCCTCGTGAAGACAAAACTCGGTGTCCGAGAGTCATTTGGTCACTCTCAAGCACGACCCCATATGACTGTTTTGCTCTCAACTCTGCCCAAATTTCAATTTATCTCGCGTGCTTGTGCATTAATCACGCTCTCGAGAGGTGGATTTCAAAAATACGCACGTCTGGGGAAAAAAATTTCCTCACGGTACAAGTGAACTTGAAGAGCATTATTAGGAGTTTTACACGCACTTTTAATTAGTGATTTTGTGTCGTGATTTAATCTAGTTCAGAGAGTCAAGAACGCATTTGACATGGCATTGAAAATCTAGGTCTATTTTCTAGCGATTGCACTTGAATGTCTGGAGAAGTTTGAAAAACAATTTAAAATAATGAAACTTCCGTTTTGCCATCGAATTTGACATACTTCCAAAACCTGACTCTTTGTTAAATTAAACTAAAGCATCTTTCATCTCCCATTTTACACGGGTTTTGTGAAGAATTAGGTCAACGTTCATTCGCCAGAAAATCATACTTCTAACAAAAATAACTTCAAGTTCAGAAATTTAAATTCTCAGCATTTTCCAATGAAGCGCGTGTCTCTTAAGAAATGAAAAATACTATTTCTTATAAAGATTTAAGATAACAACACATCCGGTAGCAATTTGACTGAAATTGCCCTACTGAAACCATATTATTTACAGGAGATATTGTAGTTATTTTTATGAGACATTTATCTAATTAACGATCGTAAAATTACGCAATTATTCACTAATAGATATTTCACGCATTTATGGTACAATTTATCGCCCATTGTTGGCATTCTCACAGCGAATTATTTTGATAAGACATACCTAACAATCTCACGACGATTAACTTCTTGACACCATGGGAAATTATTCATTTTTTACACGTGACGAAATAGAAATGATATTTTTATAACATCTCCTATGAAAATGAGCATCCATGGAGACGACATGAGTCTTCGAGTATTGTGAGATAAATTAAACTGGTTTGCTGTGAATATTGATCGTGTATTTTCTTTGGATGCTGTCCAACGAATTTAAATAATAAACATGGTAAAAATCCCATATTTCTAATTTGCAGCCTCATCTATTTTTCCCACAGATTCCCATTCTCCTCAAGTGCTCTTGAAGGAAATTGTGGGAAATTTAGTGAGCCTTCGCCGGGCGATTAGGGACTTTGGAGAGCGGCTCACCTTGGTGGCTCCGTAGACGGCCATATATGGCATTGGCTGGAGCTCACTTCCTGACGAAATGTTGACAATGGCGCCCTTCCTCCGCTCCACCATGCCGCTGAGCAAGAGCCGCGTCATCATCGTCACAGCTCCGCAGTTGATGTTCACCATGTCCCAGAGCAGATCCTCCGGCACATGACCGATGGAATCGGGGCCGTCGTACATGCGACCCACATTGTTCACTGAAAGGCCAGGCAAATGAGAAAATCGGTAAATCTTCAATTTTCCTCCTCAACTATTCCTGCCTTTCGCGCCATTCCGCCCTAACAATTGAGGGTGAGAGAGGCAATTAGCGCCTTTCCTTCAATGTGAGTCCGCCCTTTATCACATGTAGCGCGAGGAGAAATGCAAAAAATACTACACAAAGAAGCAAAGAGACTTTTGAAGAAGGCATAAACATACAAATTCGGTTATTGCTCCATTTGAGTGCAAATGGACCGTGTGATTTCTCACCAATTTCAGGCGGAAAATGAGCAGTGACAAGAATTCCCGATGAGTGGCTGGCTATTAATGGGCTTTCTTCTTGACTATTTGCACCACTAGGATATTTTGAGTCAAGTGTTAAATTGCTACAATGTCTCTGCTTTCTGGGAAATTTTTGGGTACATCACTGTTCTTTCCGAGAAAGTCACATGAATATTTATTTATTTTTAAATGCACTCCAACAAAGGAACGGTGGTGAGTCTTTTTCCCTAAGAATTCTTGAATATCACTTAGATAAGATATAGCCAGCGGAATTGTTAAAATTATCAATCATTCAATTGACATTATTTGCATTGTAACGTATCGTAATTATCGCGGAAAACTATTTTCATGTGAGTGGTGTGCAAACTAATTGCAAATACTTATGAGAAATTTGCGTCATAGATTGGAATATTAGGATTTATTACATTTCATGAAAATACAAACAAGCAATTTAAGGTATAACTTTTTATGCTAGCCAATTCCATCACAAAAGTACCAATTTAGTAGAAAAAGACAAACAAGAATTGCGTGTAAAAAAATTCTTACGCATTTTCAAAGTATCATCAGAAAAACATCTATTTCAATTTCTAATTTGTTTTGATGCGGAAATCAGTATCGGAATCAATAAAGTCTTCTCAAGTGTTGCGCGGATTCACAAATCTTCAAATAGTTAGTTTTCAAATTATTACTTGAATTATTAAGCAACTTGCGATGAGCCTGAGATAATTCTAATATTAGTTCTGATGGAATATTTAGAGATTCCTCAAAGACAGAGATTTACAGCATTTCGTCTCTAAACTCATAAATAATCCCCTCTTTTGCATCGTGTGTATCCAATGAGAAACAGAGAAGGAGTGAGAATTGCATAACTTACCCAGAATTCCCACTGGAATTCCTCTGAGCTCCTCCTCGATGCGAGGATAAATATCACGTCCTTGGCTGAAATCCGCGGCAATCCATTTGGTCTTCACATGAAAGTCCTGCTCTATTTCATTGGCCACCTCCACGAGTTTCTTCTCCGTCCTCGAGATTAGCACGACGTTTATGCCGCGACTCGCCAATTCGCGGGCATATTGTTTCCCAATTCCATCCGTTGAACCCGTGATCACTGCAAGATACCAGTAAAAAAGAACGGTTGGCATAAAAAGAGGCATTTGTACTTTGAGTGTTTACTAAACTGTGACTAACGTGAGTCTTTTGCACTGAATTTACGTGCACTGGGAATGTTGCGAAAGGCATGATTTATTGTCTATTTGAACCATTCAACAGCGGTGGCCAGTGTGGTGTGAAGAGGATATGCAATTGCGCTACACACTGACCTTAACCGTCATTAAAAAAGTGTTAAGAAAAAGATGCCAGATTTTTCACCTCAATTCATTTGAGCCACAACACTAACCGAGTCATGATGCTTTTTGTACCTCACAGCTATCACAATAGGCACGACTTAAATTGATCAATGGGTTATTTACCCATAAGAAAAACTTCGTCACAAGGTTAATGATTGAAATTACTACCTGTTGCCTATGCTTCATTTCAACAGTCACCGAGCGTCTCTATTAGTAATCAGTGAACGCAAACGCTCGACTCTTCCTTTCATATCTTATTCGTGTTACTTTAATCGCACACATAATGGACAGTGTTGGCAGCTCTTGTGTCATCAATAAACACTATGCAGAGCAAACACTTATTGCAACCAACGACAGAAATGTGTGAAAGCGCACACGTAATATCGCGATCCTCTATATCGTAAATTTTAAATAGCTTCGCTGTGTCCTCCAGAAACTGACTTAATCATCACACTTGCACAATATTGTCAGAGTGATATAAAATTGAGTGTAAATTTGGCCAGTGGAGTTAAGAATAGGGCGGCCAATCAGCTAAATTTACAGTCCAATTCACCTTGAATTATTTCTTCATTACGTTTGTTTATAACATTTTTCACGCTTGACACTCAAATAGACGTAATCGTCTCAACTATGTTGTTTTCTTTAATTGCACGTGAAAATTTCTAACAAATAGAAAATCGAAACAATAGATCATTTAGCATTTCGCCTGTGCACGCGATCAATTTCCGCACATAATCGATGGGTTAATCGATGCGAAGATTCTCACTGAAAAACTGCCATATTAATTGCACAACTCCGAAAACATCTTGATATGACTTGCGTGGTATTTTTGCGAAGCTGCGAATTGCCTTTATATTTATCATGATCGTAAATTTCAGCAAGATTCATCCATTCAATGTAAATGTCTTTCGCTCGCGAGAGAAAAACCTGATATTATTTAAGACAGTTGGAAGTCAACTTTATTGCACAATTTCCTCACGAAAACTCGTATCTTATTCAACGGAATTAAATTGCTGAAATAGTATTATAAATTTTTACTACACATTATAATAACAATTTGCCTGTGTGTGGATATAAGCAAAAACCAAACATTTTTCTGGGGCTTTCGCACATTAATTGGCCTGAGACGCCAGAGATAGTTGAAAGACACCGATTGCGATATTAGTTATACTGCAAATTTAGGCAAGACATGCAAAATCGATCTCAGAATTGTGTCTCTGTATCTTATTAACCATGGACAGTCAAATGACAAATCCTTGAATTATCCGCATTCACGGTGTTTTGCAAAATAATCATATAATGTTGCATAGCATTTGATTGTTGCATTATGGAATTATTCGTAATGGCATAAGAGAGAAATTGATGCTCACGATCAACTTGATCAATTAGCATAGGTTGAATTATGACATTCTCTTTTCATTAAGTCATTCTATCTTTGATATCTTCCCGTGCACAGTTGCATAACAATATTCACTCTCTGCAAGTGATCTTAGATCTCAAGAGACTTTCGAAAATACCGCCACTTCTATTAAATATCTCTCCTTCATCGCCATCGAGCGGCTTTGATTATCTGTTTGCCTTGAAACGAATTTTCTTGTATATTTTCTGAAACTCCTGCATCACTTCAGAGACACAGGGAAATGCGCTTTGTGGTTTACAAGTTTCTCATGTCTCTCAAATGTCTGGTTATTGCACAATATTCCAGAGTCACATTCAAGATGGTAATCTTTCAGCATGGCTCGCAGAAAAACCACTGGTCCAAATGAGGTGAAATCGTTAGAAATATCAACATTTTGTCCCCCCATTCAAAGTATTATGGTGGCAAAAAATGTCACGACGCAAAAGTGATAAATTTTGTTTCTTTTTATCCACGGAATGCTTTGAACGAATAGGAATAATTCATAAATTCTTAGCAAATACCTAAAGTCTTTATTTGTCTTCCTCAGAGCTTTTGGCTCTCATCATTGTGTCGGGTGACAAAGTGAATAGAGGTCACAGATTATATGTATTGTGAGGCTATTTGCAACTTCTTCTATGCATGTACATATCATTCATTTTCCTTTCAATGGGCAAAAGTTATGTATTGAAACAAATTATCCCCGCTAATTAAGTTTCTCAATTCACGACATTGATACTTGTATACCGCCCAAGTGTGGTGGAAAATGATGTAAAAACGAGATTTACACAGCTTATCCATTCACACACTTGCAGTGCAAGTCAAAATACAATCCATGTATGATCCAATGATTTTTTATGAACCAAAGGTCGTTCATGAAATGATTTATTTGAATGGAAAAAGAGTGTTCTTTTTATTCTCCTCCCAGCAATGCGCTCAATGTGAAATGCTCAACTTCTGCGGAGTGTATGCTTTTAGCACGTTTCATTAATAACCATGAGAAAAATCGCACTTTTTAAAATGTCCTCTTTGCTTGGGTGATTCCTGAAATTTGGCGAAAGGCAAGAATAAATTAAAATTGGCAGTATTTTAACCTACTGACACTTTTTTTCGCTATGTCGCAAGATTTTATTTACAAATGGCAGAGTTGAGTTTGCAATATTTCGCCTACACATCAATAAAAGCTACGTAGACTAATTGGAATGAAAACTGTCACAAAACAAATCCTAATTAGCATAAATTTTTATTTTTTAAATTTTACAACCTTCTGAACATGTCATTGTCAATCATTTTATATTTGTGGATATTATGGAGATTTGCAAAAAATTATGGAAATTTTTATCTTAGAAGCGTCATTCTTTTCAGCAAGTCAAAGATTTTGCCAAAATACCAAGAGTTATTCTTTTCTAAGGCAAAAAAAACTGGATTATTTAAGAACTTCCTGAATAATAAAATACAGTGAAATGTGAAAAACAAGGAAATTTTTCTGAGAATTGAATGATCACAAAAGGATAAAAAAAACTAGGATTTGCCAATTCACATAATGTTGAACACTTGTTTGTTTAGAGTCAATTCCCATGAATTAAATCTGGCTGCAATAAATCACGTAGTTTATAGAGTCATTAAACATCTCAAAATAAATTCTGTACCATCATAACATACACAAGAAATGGGGGAATGAACCTTTCACTTCTAATTACCTGCCCAATTTCCATACTTTTCCGCCAGTGTCTGATTCTCCTGTGGCAGGAAGTAGGGTGCCAAGACTGCCTTAACAATAAGCACAAGTGACCTTAGATTGTCATAGGCCCAGCTAATGATAGCCCAAATGCCCGCAATTGATAAGAGTATCACAATCACCACATATACATTCAGCGAGAGAGAATTGATAAGACTCTCGAACATTTTATCGTATTCTTTGGACGAGACAAGTTTAGAAAATTTCTTCAAGATCGGTAGGATAATTCACTCTTGCACAAGAAATTGGCACTCAAGTCTCACGGACACACAGACTGCATTAATCACACACTGTAGAGAAATATGGTGTTAATTTATGAACTATAGAAAATATCAATGAACACATGAGTGTTTTAATTGAAGAATGGTGACATCCTCTTGCGCACTGCGCTCCACTCAGAAACTGTCTGGTAATTGATCACTCACGTTATGGACGTATATTCAATTGTTGAACAACCCTCCCACACAATTATTTCTTAGAGTCACATCACAATTTCTCTATCTCATTGACGAACGCATTATCAACTGACGAGTTGCCTGTGGACAGACCACTCGAGGAGTCTCCTCCGGTCACAGTGTGTAATACAACTAACGCAGTTCGTCTGAAAATGGTCATAAATTGAGGCACGAGTATGGGAAACTGACCCCCACCAATATTATCGATTACCTCCAGTTGACTGGGTGATTCGCTCAAGAGCATTTTCCTTCAGAACTCTCATTGCTGCACTCCGTCATTTGAACCCACCCAAGGAGAGGATTATCTGCAAAGAAAGGAAATTCACACGATAAACAATAAAAAGTTATATGATTTAATATTTATGAGACACCCTGTCGAGGCAAACATACAAAACTTTCACTTTACCACCACCAAACGCAATGTTCTTTTTTGACCAAACAAAGCTCGAGTATCTGCTTGATATTCATAATTCAATTCACACACACGTGAGTGCAACTTATGAGTAAAATCAATTCACTAAAAAATTCATTTAACATTTTAGCACTTTAGTACCAAACCTCTTTACATTTCCCACACCAATATTCCTCTCTCATTTCCTCTCTCATAGTCAATCAATAAATTCACTTTATGCAACGCACTTGGCACGATAACAATTAGCATATGATATGTGTGTTGAAAGCGTATGAATGAACAACTCTTTACACACATTTAAGTGTTTAATCGATGCATTTCGCGGCCAATTGAATCATCTTTGGGGGAAATTCAGGCGAAATGATAGAGACGAGAAGACGCAAACCACACGAAGACGATGTTCCTCAGTTTAGGCAATTTAAAATCTCAGCGCCTTGGGGAGAATGAGGGAAATCCACTCGAGGCATGGAAGTGCCTCTAAAAATTGCAATTTTTCATCCACAAGAATAATTGCTGAAAGCTTTAATGTATTGAAACCAAGGGGTAAACATGTGGCGCAATCACGGTTCACTGAGAACGCAATCTTCGCAATCCCAAACGCAATCCGCAATCCCTAGTGTAAAATCGCAATCTTTGGGCGCAATCCACAATCTTTGGGCGCAATCCGCAATCCTTAGTGTAAAATCGCAATCTTTGGGCGCAATCCGCAATCCTTAGTGTAAAATCGCAATATTTTGGCGCAATCACCGCAATTCTAAGCGCAATCTTAAGCGCAATCCGCAATCCCTAAGAGTATTTCGCGGAATTTGGGTAGTTTTTCTCGGAATTTGGTACGTATTCAGATTGATTTACTATTTTTCCATGGCGTGGTGAGCAAAAATGTGGTTTGTTCTTTGTGATATCTTACTAGTAATTCTCTGATCCAAGTACTATCCAAGTAAGTCATTTTATTATTACTTTATACGGTCAATCACATAGGACGTAAAGGTATAAATTCTACAGTGATCTCGTAAAAAAATGTTTAGAATATTCTCATTTATGAATTCAATAACAAAATATATTTTTTGGTTTAAACTTGGGTGTGAATTCCTTCAGATACCTGCTGCTCAAATGAGATTTCACTACTGTACAATACAGTATTTACTGGAATTATAAATATAGGCAGATTAGCACTTTTACATTGCTTCGAGTCGATTTTCTACCTGAATTCCTTGGTACAAGGGCAGATTTTTACAGAGCAAAATGCAAAATTTTGAACCACGTTGAGTCGTTGGCAAAATTTTTGCGAACGCAGGGTATAAATTTTAAACATGTTTTTGATCTGCATTTATACAGTGTGGTAGAGAGAAGAACATACAAGAGAACATAGAATATTTTAGCACAGTGCAAGTCTGAAAAAGGCGAATTTATTTACTTTTTTTATAATCGGGTTCTTTAAATATTTGTCAATAAATGTGTATGACAAACACATACAATGTTCAATGAGCAAAAAAAATTAATATCATTGAAAATTTGAATGATAATAATTGCATTGGACTGGCTATTCTCTGACCAGGTCACATTTGCAAGTATTAGTGTGAGTTCAAGCAACCCAAATAGACTTGGCCATTGAGAGAAAGTGTTGCAAAATGAATATAGGGATTATACATGGGTATTTCCCAAAGGATTCTCTTTCTCTGAAATTTTGCTAATTATTGTAACGAACTTTCTTCTTTCCTTAAATCAATGGTTTGTGCTTGAGAAAACGTTGTCTAAATCTGTCTATTCAGACTCTCAGAAATTAAAATAGCAATTCCATCTCGAGGTATCAAAAAGTGTTTAGAAAAAACTTCCAGATGACCAAACCACAGATGAAAAGGTTTTCATGAATGTCTTTGGTTCCGAAGTTGTCATCTCTGATCTAAGTCAATCTCAACCTGGATCTGCTTGAGGATCGTCTCTCGCTGTATTTTTCATTTATCATCGCAAAATACAAATTTATTTAGGCAGTAAACATGCAATACTTGTGATGTTTCTACAACTGTAGGATATACGTATTTTTGGAAATTTCACGTCTCAAGGAAGAACAAAACAATTTTTTTTAATATTCCTATGTACGCGCCGCACGTGGTTGACGAGTGAGTACAAAATTCTCAGAAAAACTACCAGAATTCTGGTCAAATTCCGTTTAATACTCGAAATTAAGTCGAATGACCCGAAATATTACCCAAATTCCGCTGAAACGCAATCCCGCAATCCCAAACGCAATCCACAATCCCTAGTGTAAAATCGCAATCTTTGGGCGCAATCCACAATCTTTGGGCGCAATCCGCAATCTTTTGGCGCAATCACACAATCTTCGCAATCCGAGTTCACTCAGAGTGGCACATGTTTACCCCTTGATTGAAACAGTGTGGTGGGTTTTAGGGTGCGAGCGGCAACAGAAATCAGCCATTCATCCCCACAAGAGGCCGCAGCAGAGGCAGCAAATCATTGAGAAATGTGAATGTGGAGTCGTTGGGCGTCTGGTCGACGACGATCATCAGCAGTCGCCAAGAGGGTAAGAATACGGATGCAGTGTACATGACTTCTCGGTCTCCTTATATGGCTAAAATAGGGATAAAATGTCCTGATTTAGCCTTGTTTTACTGGCCAACTTTAAGTAAATGACTACCAAAAAATTTAGATATTTACTGTTTTAGACAATATCATTGACCGAATCTTCTGTTCCACCCTTGTCGCCCGTCCAGAGTCCGTCGAGAGGCACCTCCTTACTCATTCACAATGGTGCAGATTTAAAACACCATTAGTAATTTACATAAAATATCCATAGTTGGAATATAATGAATGAGCGAGAGATGGGCTCGTCCTCATTGGCGAGAGGGCCATTTCACTTTTCGGAGGCATCAGTGCGAAAGGAGGAAAAGAGATATTTCGAGTGCATAATGTAGGCGCTCTCGCAAATATGGGGCGACGATGGCCAAAGCCAAAGCACTTGAGCCATTGCCAAACAATAATTAACTTAATAAATTGGCGGAATATCTAGCGAGATATCTCTTTTTCGCGAGAGAATTTGAATTATGCCAAACAATTTTCAACTAAAGTCACTGCTATATTTGGGAATACTGCCTTCTACAGCTACACCCCCACCCACATTGGAATATATACAACTTTTATACATAACCATATACACACTTTACGCTTCCTAAAACTATTACCCTTTATTGCACATCCTTCCGAAGATTCTCCCCTCGGGACGGCGTGGCGGACAAAAAGAGCACAGCGCGGGGAAGAAATGTGCACACAGTGTCATTGAATAAAAATAGAGTGGTGTGTGATAAAAGTGGCATAGAGGAGGGCTGGAGAAAAGACAAAAAGCATTAAAACATTATAAATCTGTAATTTTTGTGTTGGAGCGCAAACAAATCATGATAAATGGTGGTGATTAGCTATCGGAACCTTCCAGCAAATTTCCAACTTCATCCTCCAGCCACCCCTAAAACCGGTGTATACATGGTGAGGAGGCCAAAATGTGTGCTTTGCACACATTTTCACGTATGTTTTTCCTGTATGTCTCCCAATGCGATGCAATCCGATGAACTTTGGATGCTGCACAGCGAGACCATTTAACCCTTTTCTCACCCCAGCACCCCACTTTCTGCTCCAATACACACATTTTTTGACCTCGACTGGCGGCACTGGTGGAATGGGAAAAGATGAAATGGCTGTTTTGACACGAAGGCGCCTAACAAATGATCTTCTGCGGCCTGAGGCGTGTAGAGGAGGAAAAAGTGGAGGAAAACTGCATGGGCAAACATAGAGAAGATTAGCAGCTCATATTCCATAAATACTCAAAATTTTATTGTGCCTCAAGTAGCCATTTGAAACATAACATCCTTGCCAATTGCGGATATGAAATTTGAGCGCCAAATTGCCAAAAGCTCCCGGCGACAAGAACAGCTAATTTGTTCCTACTTTAAATGAAATCTCGAATGCATCCAACACTGGAAATTATCTCTCCCAATCCAGCCAATTGAGGGCGGAATTAGCGCAAAAGCATCCCCAATGGCACAGAGATTAAAGACATAGCATTTTATTGGGCTTTTTGCACAAACTCCACATCTCAATGCCAAATTGCCGCCAAAAAAGCAAAGAGTAACTCACTGTTGTGGTGTGATATAAGGAGAGGCTCATGTCGTTAGGCAAGGCTTGATAGTACTGGATTATGGTTAAGGACTCTCAAGTGCTTCCGCTTTATCTTGAGACTTAAGTTGGGACACAAGGAACATTTTCAGGCTATTTCGAGAATTATTACGTAATGTATTTTATTTTTAATTTTCACAAAGGTATCAAATATTCTACCAAAGAACTGTTTTCCACAGAATATTTTGCTTCATATCCTTACATAATATAAATGCACCATAGAATTAAGTCATGGAGTTGGCGAGAAATGAGAAAAAGTGTGCATCATATGCAAATTTCTTCACATATTTGAGAAAGACTTGATCGTCGACACTTGCAGAAGGAGAGAGACACATTTTTGCAATATCCTTGGAAACTCTCATGGTACAATCACGGTAAATAACAAGTTATACACAGGAAGGCGTCAATCTGTCTCCAAGACAAATATCACTGCAGAGCATTGAAGTAGATTTCTTGTGTGGCGGAATAAGAAATATTTGTGTGAATTTGCGGATGGACGAAAGAGGACAAGATACTCAAGGATACTCGAGATGGTGATGAAAACAAACATGCAGTTAGTCAAGTTTTCGAGCATTTCAGCCTCGCTCTACGCCTACATTCACAACAGTTTGTCCATTTAGCCCCATAAATACTCTGTGCAGAGGAAGGGTGGGAATGGACTGGAGAATGTAGGGTCGCGGCGCCACTTATGTCCATTATCAACATCATTCTACATCACTTTCGCCAGAGATTTTTCTTGCTCATTCGCAAAATTCGATTCAATGGTAGACCAGTAACTATTCTTTTCACACAATATTGCTATTGTGTTTGGACTGAAATTTTCAAAAAAAAGTTCAGAGGTATTTTCTCATGTGCACAACTACGAATCCAGGAAAAGTCGATAGCGTGATGTAGCCATAAGTGGTGCATGGACCCTATATGGGAAAGAAATGCGCATTGTTGGATAAGTGGAGGAAGTCTTGTGTTATAATTTATACTGTTTTGCCATATGAATGCCAAATTGGAGACGAGTACAAAGTATAATTCATGGCGCCCCCGCCAACCTCACATGGTGGGCTGCATCGCACCCTCATATGCGTATATATTTCTAATGGCACAAGTCGCGACCTTTTCGCCCACTCCACCGCAGGCACATTCACACCACCCAGGGCATCCATGCCGCACCAGTATCCAAGTTATGGCAGGCTGTCGGCGTCGGGTGGATGTTTTATGGTGGGTGGATAGATGGCCGTGGATATCTCTTTCTGGTGGCTGGGCTGGAGGAGGAATATGTGACATCGTCCCACACGATCTCGCAAGGCAGCCGAGATTCTGCTTTGTTCGTCTCGCCCAGTGCACATTAAACTCTTCTTTCCCACTGAATGTTCCATCTTTTGCCCCAAAAAATAATTCTCCTCGCACATACACACACATACACACCAGTGGACCCATCCTTGTCGGCAGGATGGCTCGAGGACGCCCCGACGACGAGATATGCGGAGTGGCGGAGAGGGACTCCTCGGGGCCAAACTGGGAAGAATGAGTAACATATTCACATATAAACAGAGAGGAATAGTTGAAAGAGAAAACACACAATGCGGGGGGCAATGCTGGGAGTGCTGGCAAAAACAATGTACAAGAAAATCAACCGAGAACGAAGAAATATCTCAGCAGAGGAAGAAACATAAGTGAGTTTAAATACATATGAATACATTGCGAATTGGGGGACCCCAGCAATGACTTTTCCTGCCATCGCAAACTTACAAGCGCAGCAAGGGCGTTTTTTCTCCGTCTCCCGGACACATCGAAGGAAATTCCCCGGCATTGACAATATTGCCATGCACACATTCTTTCATCAGCAGACAGAGCGCCACTCCATCTGAATTCGCAACAACCCACACAATCGGCCCACGAGAGGATTAAAGCGGAGCACAAATTGCTCTCCAGCAAGGACCAAAGTGCATTTCTGGTGAAATTGTGAGTCAGACGCAAGGGAGTAATGTCTCAATTCATTTCTTTATGTCTCCAAAATGCTAACAATTCCCGTTAAATCTGCAATTTTAAGAGCATCCCATAAAGCGTATAAGAATAGGAATGAGATATTCTCTTGTTTGTGGAAATTAAGCGTATGGCGGATTCATCTGAATGCGCTTACACGGATTTTTGAGAAAGTCAGCCCCCATTAAATCTGACTATCGGTGCAAATGCCAAAGGTGAGGCATTCAAAGAGATAGAAGTAAATACCCAGGCGGAAAAATACATTCGGTACACCTGTTGTGATAAATTAGGGCACTCCGCCTGCGGTGGAAGCTTCCTCTGACGCCCTGGGGGAGGTGAAATTGAATTTGAATAGTCATAAATTGCCATACGAAGAACGGATCGATGTCCGGTCAAATGTTACTTGTCGTATTTCACACTGCGGAATACATGCACTTTTAGGCGCGTCGCCTCCATTCATTTGCGTCGCAGCAATTGGTAATTTAAGGAATTCATAAATTGCCACCGATTATGTTGTTAACGATGTGTGCCGGCCACCGGCTGTTTTCTAAACACCACCCCAGAATATAATCCCCGGCAGCAGCGCCGGACGCCAGGGTTTACACACAGAGCTACACGACGGCATCATGTTCACTGGGGATCGTTTATTATAAGCACTAGCAGCACAATATACAACCTCCGACGACAATGTGGGCCACCGTGGTGGGTGCGGAGGAACTTTTAGTTAGATGGTTCTACCAAGATCATTTATGTACCTTCTGTGCACACCACGCGTTATGCGTCACTTTGTACCGCAGATTATAGGCGTCAATTAATGTCCGGATACTGAAGAAATAGGATTTGGTGTGATTGTAGTCTGGATCAAGCTCCAGACTAGGATAGTTAAGACACTTTCTTTGCTCACTGTATGCGCATATAGAATGATATTACTCATAATGCTCATAATCAGGAATTAAAAAAAATATATATTTTCATAACACGATGGGTTTTCCACATGGAATGCCAATGGGGAAAGTCACTCCAAAGCAGAGACCATTAAATATATTCAAATTACATTCAATTATTAAGTTATATTCGGCCTTTTTAGTCTTGACCGGACGTCTGACGCCCCCTAAGGATCATTTTGGATCATTTAGGATTATATAGGATTAGTTTGGATCATCGAATCTCTCACTCGAGATCTGGCCAAGAAGCAGAACCGACAATTTGGAGTGATAAGTGGTACTTATGGCAATATAAAGTTCAGGAATCAGAACACCAATAAGGAAGTGACGGTGACTCTTTTGGGAAGGAATAGATTTGCCGTTCCTCAGTTCTATTGGCGACCTATTCTGGATCCCATTGAAAAAGCAGCCATTGTTTTCGTGACGCTAAACAACCCTTACTCAACTACGGTCCCAACACTCTGCACAAATAAATGTGCAGCGGCCAGATTCAATATTCCGAACTTCACCAACTTCAACATGGGATACACAATCTGCTGCAGCTACGAAGAGTTTGTCCGGCTGGTCAGCATAAATCTGCCCGGAGAGTACAGCACCGCAAGCTTCCCGAATCTAATCAGCAATGTGTAAAGGGCAATAAAGATGTGGGATAAAATTCCCGAATTTACAACTGACTTTGGGCACAGCGGATGATGATGATGACTGGTGGTCTGGCGCCTCCAATAAAGTGCGGCACGCGTCTTGAAAATAGCTGAATCGTGTGCACCCGCATTTGGCAGATGGCGAGATGTTTACAAAGTTCAGCTGATTTTGGGTTCTTCGCTCTCTCAGCTTCCGACTTGGCCAGCGGCTCTCGCCAGAGGTGCTAAGATTCTGCCAAGAGTGACGTGTCACAGTGGTTCACATCTGCCAGGAATTTTGTGGCTCAGAACCAGACACGAGGGCAAGTGTGCATTCGAGCGTGTGCCCCATCGGGAGTGTGTGTATTGGAGGAGCGCTCTGGGATGCTGTGCGACTCCGCTGTCTCTCGGCAGGCGGGCAAAGTGAGGGAGAGCCGACTCACGGCCGACGAGCAGATCGTGATTGTCTGACTAGACGACGTCGCTGAGGACGCGCGGTGCAGAGATTTTGGAGAGGCGCCAGTGTTTGCGAATTTCTTGCCAGTTGCAGTACCAAAGTGGTGCTGGCACCGACAACGCGCCAATCGCTGCCTTCGGGCAGCGAGACAACTTCTCACGCCAGATCCAAGTGGTGTGGACAAGTGTGCCTATATTTGTGAAGCCCAGCATCTTGGCCTGCACTCCTCGTGGCCACCGTGAAACGCACACCGCGACCCGTGATTCCCGCTCACTTGATATTGGCAATCAGGGGGCTGAAAATCGCCAAAAGGCGCCACGTAATAATCTCTGCAGAGGAGCGAGCACGAGGAGTGGGAGGATGCAGAAGGAAAAAATCTCCGCATAAACATCCAATCTATTGACTAACATGACTCTCGGAAGGAGTGGAGCCAAGAAGGAGTTTACCCAGGCGAGAATTGTGAAAAATTGCCGCTCTACTTACGGAATTTCATGCGACTCCCCACCTCCCGGACACACACTGGCGAGGACATACACAGTTCCGCCGAGTGGCATACACAACTGAGGCACACGTTGGGTGTTTGTTATTGAAATTGTGGCCAAGAGGATGGCGATGAGCTGCAGCATCGCCAATAAATTCAGCCCCGACGACATTCTTCTCCTGGCTGGCCAAGGAGTGTCTCCGTGTCGTCTATCAGCTGAAAGTCTACACACTTCTTCGTCCAACTGGCTGATGCCCAAAATCTCAGCATCGCTGATTACATTGTGTGTGACGCACCTCGCACTTGACACAGGAGGATTCCCCGAGGCGCTCCCTGGGCCGTAGAGCTTCCCCAGTATACTCCAAATAGCCGCACAGCCGAATTAATGCAGTAAAGTCCACCAGGACGGCCAGGAGGAATGCTCGCAGCATACTTAAGACTTACTCAATACCCACTTATACGAGGCAAAATATCCCCTATTTACCACAACATTACTAGCGCAAGCACCGTAGCAAGAGTTTAGGAGATCGCGGGACAGATGCAAGGTGACTTTGAGGCAATACAGTGATGACGATGACGCCCAATCTGGAGACTGTGGCAAGGCAAGTTGCTCATTATTCCCTCATATAATATTGAGAAAATGGGCTGCACTGTGAGATTGAAGATAGTGTGATATTGTGAAGAAACAGGGACCTTTGGTGTATAAATAGATCGTCGCAATTCCCAGACCATTTTCTATTTTTGTGATTTACGTGCTTTAATCTATCCTCCTCTCGATTGCATAACTCCTCAATCTCTCACTCACACCATGGTTTATGTATTGTCCTATAGATTCTACACTGTACATAGTCGCGTCACAAGTTCTGCTGCAACAACACTATAGTCAAGTCTATTAACAATAATGAACCATTTCGTCTTATGTTTGGAAGATGGGAAAAAATCCCTTTTTAATTTACTGTGATTTTTGAGTACGAAATTGATAAGTCTTTTAAATTAATATCAAAGTTATAGTATGAAAATATCACAAGTAGAAATACAAACACTTTTAATGCCGAACTTGCGGCACAACCGGATAGAAAATAGAGTGAATGTAAATTTATGAGATTCACCGTGTCAAGTGTGTGCCGAAACGAATTCACCCATTACAAGGCTCGAACATAAATTAATTACTTAATTAATTGTGGCATGTTTTGCTTACAGACGAAAAATCAGCGCATTTCATCGCGATGCAGTGAAGCTGTCTCCACCTCCCGGTCGACCGATTTTGACCACTCGCTCGACCTGGAGGTATCGGGACGCTCGCCAGTCGCCGAGCTGCACAGTGCACGTGGGGCTCGGAGGACTTTCGTGTGCGGGCGGCAGGACAGCGGAAATTGCCACAAAATCCACAAGTGTGATTCGATTGGACCACTGGAAATACACTTCTGGACGCGCGATTTGGAGTCGGCAGCGCGACACATCTCCAGATTGGACACATGTAGCAAGTAAATTCTAGTAATTTATGACATACTATTTGCAATATGACTACGAGTTCTTAACTATATACCCACTGATACTGTAAAAGTTTCAACATTTTTTCGTAGTAAAAGAAATGGTTAGGAGAATGGTTGCTGTTGTCTTATTTTGGAGGGAATACGAGAAAATCGATAGTTCTGGTAACGCAATCCCGTAGAATATTGTCTGCTGAGTGAAATGATATCGTGAATGTTTATTTTCATTGTCTTCTTGTTGTATTTCTGAGAAGAAAAACGTTTTGGCGGGAAAATACTCAGCAGAGCACATTTTTCCCCTCCCGTTTATCGACACACTTCTTCTTCTTTTCGTTAAGCTTCCGACGAGTGGAGGGGATTTGAACGAAGCCCACGTTTTTCTCTCAGTACCTTTTGTCAAAGTGCCATGTCAGTCGGAGACGTGTTTATATTTGTACGCAATGATGCTTCGCTGAAATCTCTTTTGGACAATTATGAGCAAAAATAGTCTGTGCAGCGCGAGTGAAGACGTTGCCGAATACCTGAGAGACCGCAAGAAAACCGCAGAGCATCATGAAGTGCTGAAGAGAATCACTGAGGACAAGCTTCGTGAGATTCTGGCCAGTGAGAAGCATCTTCGAGACGTGCCCTTTGACGTCACGCTGAAGGAAGTGGAGGAAAAGGTGAGGAGATCATATGTCTAATGGTGTTGGCCAGAGAGAAAGCACACGGCAAGATGCACACGAAATAGAAGTGGCACAAAAGAGACTCCGCACAGTGGAAACTCCCCAAGCCACGAATTTGCACGGCGAGATAGCATCAGGCCACTAATTAGTCATTTATTGCCTTGCAGATCAGTCTTATCAGGGGTCAGTCGATCACAGTGTTTGTGACGCGAGAGGCTCTCCCACCGTTTGAAATTGTGGTAAGTCTCTTGGGGGATTTCCTCGCTTTTCTCCTCACGTCCACTCAATGGGTATAATTCCGTGAATTATACCGTAAAGTCAGGTCATTCAATTCTTGAAAGAATAGCTCAACTCGTTTGGTCATTGTAGTCATTGCAAGACGAGCGAGACTATGAAAAAGTCCCAGTTTTTAGGAGAGCACGAAGCGATAGTGCTCATCAGAAAGTGTGCTATGCTTCTTGCACAGCGATTTATGCTGAGACAAGGAATTGACCTCAATTCCTGAAATTTCAATTACACTGACTTTGGACTTGCAATGAGAATTACAATATGACTTTTGATCATTCGTTGATCACTAATCTCTGGCCTACTCAAGTGCTTTTTTTACATCATTATCACTAAGCTTAAATTGCAGAGTGATTGATTGAGTGATAAGAAAATCGTGAGATCACAGAAAGTCAAAAAATTTGAAAAGAAAAATTCTCCTCCAAATATTTGATCAACAGTTCACTTATTTTTCTCTGGCCAATCAAAGCTGCGAATTAGTGAGTTAATTTTTCGTTTTCTCAAATCATTTAACCATCTGTTTAACACTATTCCGATGAAATTCTGTACCATGAAATTCTTCACGAAGCAACGTCATGATTTTATGACACAGCACGAATAAAAACTTCCTGCTGTGGATTGATAGCTGAGTAGAAAATGTTACTCTTTTTTTCTAGTAGTGAAAATAGCTTTTTTTGTGAACTAATCTTCGTCTAATATAAACACCAAGAAAAAATCTGTATATAAACTGGTGGAAAAGTTAAAACATCATAAATTTAACGCGTGCAATCTGTGGAAAAAGCACTGGTGATTGTCTATCTCGCTCTTTGTAAATTTGCGACCTTGTAGTGTGTAGAATGGTGTTGTTTCTCTTCATTTGAAGGCACACTGAGACTGATGATTACACTGAAAACACACAAAACTCACCAGTTTTCGGTGAGCCACTCCGCTGAGAAGTTGACTTTTAGCTGGAAGGCGCAGTGAATCGACCTGATAAGGAGAATCGTGCTTTTTTTGGTGGGCTTTCGTTTCTGTGTGTCAATGGGGTAATTCGCTATTTTATTGCCATTCAATACACCCTGGATTAAAGTCACATTTCCCAAACCTCATCGGCATTATCGTGATTTCACACGCTTCACTCATCGGGACGTGCCCAAGATTATTATTACCTGTGTGTGTTGAGAAAATATTTGCATCACGACTCCCACCCAGATTTGACGCTGGCGGGAAAGTTGATGAGAATCTGTGTTTTAATCATTTCCACAATTATATAAAGACATTCGCGGCCAAGTAGCGAACTCAGATGATTTACACAAATCATACTCTTATTGTCAACAATAATTATCTCTGAATTGCTCTACAAATAGGCAAACAAATTAGTGTCATAAAATACTGTGAGACTCACTGATTTTGTGAAATTTTCCACTTTGATTGGCTGTGATACTGATATTGACAACATTTCGATCAAAACTAATACGCAGTCGAAGTTTGAGGAGCTGCAGCACCTTTTTGCAAATAGAATTTGACCCAATTCAGTGTTATCCACCTTAATTCGCAACGAAGAAAAATGAATAATCCGCAAAATTGTGTGACGAAATCTAAGCCAAATTAATATTGATGATTTGCATCTAATTTGGTGGGTTTTTTAGAAGTGGATCATGTGAAAATTCGTGTGTCAAAGTTTATTTGATAGTTAAATTAACCATAGAGAAAAGAGAGATGACTAAAATGCAAATTGACAATGAAAAACTCCGCCTTTTTTAACGTCCCGCCCACAAATTCCACGATTTCTTATCTCAGAAAAATACCAAAGTTTTCAGTGAACACACCAAGACAAACTGATTAGAATTCTGTAATTGATGATACTCTCTAATCGCTAATACTCAATATCTATCACGCGTTAATCGTTTTATTGTGTCCTAATTGCAACCCAACCCAATTCTGATCGATTGCCTTATTAATATATCCCATTGCCTTTGAACAGATTCCGCAATCTGGGACCACTGTTCATGATCTGAAGAAAGCCATCGAAAGGACCTACAAAGCTCACCAGAAGCGCTGCCTTCAGCGTGCGAAGCGGCGCAATTTACCTGACGAGGTTTGCTTAGCAGCACGGAACACAGCGGATCAGACGCAAATCTCTTGGCGGTACATCTGGAGGACTTACATGCTGGCTTACGGAGGCATTAGATTAGCCGACGATAATCAGCTGCTGGCCACGTACGGAATCGCGAACAAAAGCGAGTTGCGCTTTACGAAGCGAAGGCGCGATAAATGTTCAAAGCACTAACTTCACCGATGGCTCTGAGGCGGAATGGTTACCAAATCTGGCGAGTGTTGCTCCTCTACGGCATGTTTGCCAGTGTACGAGCTCAGCTGGAGCCCAACAATAATCTCAAGATAAATGTGCACGGATTGGAACTTACCCAGGCGCAGAACATCCAGCGGCAGGAAGTGCTGCAGAAGATGTGTGACTCTCTCAGTGGGGCCAACGACCTCGCACCCGATGATCTCACGGAGCTGCAGATGGAGCATCTGCTGGTGGACAGGAAGCACCACTTTCTGTACTGCTACGTACCCAAAGTTGCGTGCACCAATTGGAAACGTGTCCTGATGATACTCACGGATGTGTGGAATGGCACGGAACCACTGCAGATTCCCGCCAAGCTGGCCCACTCGCCAGGGGTGTTTGTCAAGTTCAACTCCCTGAGTGAGGAAGAGAAGAACCAAGTCCTCGCCGACTACACTCGCTTCATAGTCACGAGGCATCCGTTCGAGCGACTGCTCTCTGCATACAGGAACAAGCTGGAGGGCAATCTGCCCAGTGCTCAGTATTTCCAGGCCCGCGTTGGCCGCCAGATAGTTAAGCATTTTCGCCCAAATGCGAGCAACGCGTCTCTCGCCACAGGGAACGACGTTACGTTTAACGAATTTGCACAGTACCTGCTCACACCGGAGCTCAGCATGAATTACCAGGCGAATCAGTCTTTCAACGAACACTGGGAGCCCATCACGAATCTCTGCAATCCGTGCTTTGTAAAGTACAATGTTATTGGGAAGTACGAGACACTGATTGAGGATTCAGCCTTGGCGCTCCACCTCATCAATGCCTCCATAACCTTTCCAGCCGGACAGAGGACGTCCGGGACCAGCGAAAGGATGCGCACTTACTTCGACACACTGCCAATTGGAACCCTCAGAGGACTCTATCAACTCTACGAGAATGACTTTAAGCTCTTTGGCTACAGCCTCGATGATGTGCTGGGCTTTGAATTGGGATGACAAAGGCTCTATTGGCCATTATGATTGTCCTTACTTAATACAGGACTAACAGATTGACAGAGAGATAGGCGATTGAGGAGGATTCAATACTTGTGATATGAAGTAATTGTTGAACAAATATACTTTTGTATAGTTAGAAGAATTAAAGGGATTTCTACTTCTTCCTAATCGCAGCTTCTGATCTACGCATTCTTATCTAATCAGGTGGTTGAAATTCAGAAGCTGGACTTAAATTACTCGTAGATCGATAACATTTGTATTCAGTACTTGAAATTCCGCAATCAGACTCCCACGACGTTTATCTAGGCCAGTTTGTAAAGGTGATAGCGTTTATGAGAGTGTTTCATTGTTGAGGTGACAGTGCAAAATCCGGCAGACGCATTGCTATATTTCACTCAATTGCCACGGAGAGATATCAACAAACTTCCCCCTTCTTCAGTCTCTGCTTCGGTTCCAAAGTCCAAGTTGGACAAGAGGTCACATAGAGTGATTGCCGTGCTTGCGAGATCGCGTTTGCAGTCTTAAGTCGGCACTCGAAGTGCGCAGACTGTGAGAAAAATGATTGGTGTTGCGATATTCCTAGTGCTTCTTGTCGTTTATCTGTTGAAGATCGACTTTTTCCAACGATGTGTGAGATTCAAGAAGATCATTGACTTCTCCTATAAGTTTCCTGGACCACCGATCTTGGAATTGGCCCAGAAAGCCCACAAAGAAAGTTAGTGGAATGTTTGCTTACTTACAGTGGAACAGGTTTTCTCACAGAAGTTTTATAATCATTGCTCACAGAGGTTCTGCCATGGCTAATGGATTGTCGTCGAAAGTATGGACCACGGTTCGTTATTTGGTTCGGAAAGGATCTCGTGGTTTTTCTAACTCAGCCTGAGGACATCAAAATTGTCCTCTCGAGTCAAGAGATTATCAGCAAGTCGGGCAATTACAAGGTCGTGATGCCTTGGCTGGGCGAGGGGCTGCTGACGAGCACTGGCAGCAAGTGGCAGAAGAACCGCAAACTTCTCACTCCGGCTTTCCACTTCAATATTCTCAAGCAGTTTCAAGTGGTCATGGACGACTGCTCTGATATTCTCATAAAGAAGTTGAGCAAAGTGGCGACTGACAAACCGGTGGACATTTATCCCTTTATCACTCTCTACGCTCTGGACGTGATCTGCGAGACCGCTATGGGAATCAAGAAGAACGCCCAGGAGAATAGTGAGTCAGAGTATGTGATGGCAGTGAAGAAGTAAGTAAAAATAAGCTTAATTTTGTCCAAAAATAGAAATTGGCACACTCAATCTTCATTTCCACGATCAATTGGACTTTATCCTTGACTTTATCATTATCCGGTCAATTTATTGCCTGATAAGTCCTGGAAAATGATCGATCGTCAAGTCAATTAATCGATTTTTGACCTCCGGTTTAAGCGTAACGTAAGATGATTAAAGAAGTTTTTCTTACCTGTTCTGATCAGAAAAGAACACGATCTATATTCTTCTCATTGCAAGCTGAATAAATGAATGCTTCGTTCTTATTAATTTATTCATCTATTCCCCACTCGTGATAATATAATATGTTATTCAATGAAAATAGAAAAGAAAGAATGAGAGAAATTAGACGCTGAAATTGAAGTTAAATAGGTATCGTATTTTTCCACTCTAATGATAACCATCTCGAAGGTACAAACCCCTCGATTTTTTTTGTTGTCTCCACATAAGTTAATTCTCGAGTGAGACTGAATAACAATTTTAGGCTTTAGCAGCTCATATCTAATCTCTCTGATAAGAAAGACGAAATAAAATAAAAATAGGTAAATTTTATTTCGTAGAATTTGCGAACTCACACATCGGCGTTCTTTCTCCATGGTACTGAGGATTCCCTTTTTCTTCAATCTCTCGTCCTACAAGAAGGCGCAAGACAAGACTCTCAAGATCCTCCACGATGAAACGAGAAGAGTGATCAAGTTGAGAAGAAAGGCTCTTGAGAATCTCAATATCAACACTTCGGAGGTTCTAAGCGAGGCCAGTTCGATGCTGGGCGTTAAGAAGAGACTCGCCTTCCTGGACATGTTGCTGATTGCCCAGCGAGAGGGCAAGGATTTGTCGGATGAGCACATTCGCCAGGAAGTGGACACTTTCATGTTTGAAGGACACGATACAACGAGTAATTCTCAAGATAATAGAAATATTTCTACAAAACATGATGTTGAATTTATTTGCAGGCAGTGCTATTGCGTTCACCATTTACTTGCTTTCGCATTATCCGAAAGAGCAGGAGATCGCCTATCAGGAAGCTAGGGATTACGAAGGGCAGGAACTGGAGACTATGAAGTATTTAGAAGCGGTGATCAAGGAGACCTTGAGAATCTATCCTTCGGTGCCCTTCTACTCTCGATGGGTGGAGAAAGAGGTGAAAGTGGGCGATGTCGTGGCGCCACCCGGAGTCACTTTGTCTGTTCAAACGTACATTCTCCATCACGATCCTGAGATCTTCCCAGAACCGAATGTCTTCAAGCCCGAACGCTTCCTTGACAGCGAGAATATGCATCCTTACGCATATGTGCCGTTCAGCGCTGGTCCCAGGAATTGCATTGGACAGAAGTTCGCGATGTTGGAAATGAAGAAAACTTTGGCAAAACTCTTGAGACACTTCGAATTCCTACCCGTTGACGCGAAACCAATTCTCTTGGCTGAATTGATCCTCAAGAGCGACAATGGAGTTCAAGTGCGACTAAAGAAGAGAAGTTAAGGTATGTCTTTCCTGAATTTTTTTGTTTATATTTATGATTGAAGTTTCACTGTTACATCGACAGAAAGAACCAGCGTTTAATCATCATGATAGTCTCTCTTCATCTCCTTCCTTAAAGCATCCATTCCTCATTATTACACATTAACTACTTTATAAAATTCAAAAGGAATTCAACAACACTTACTGTTCATCTCTTCAACAAATAAGAAGTTTACTTGAGATCTCTTGCTAATCTTATTACAAAAATACATTTATATATTGGTTGTTCACTTTAGAAACATGCAATATTGCCTAATAAATTTTCTCCTGCTTCTCAATCCATTCAGGGAACTTGTCATAAGGCAACGAAGAAACAACAGAGGAAACTTATAACTAGCACTGGATTGAAGTTGTAAAAGAACTCTTTTTTTCAACATCACAAAGCAAAAGTATTATGATATGTTTTAAATAGAAAGTGTTTGCACAGTAATTCTTTAAAACTACATCATGATTTTCTTCAGGAAAATGATTAGAGATATGGATTCGCCATCGAAATGATTTCTTTTCTTTTCTTGTGTTATCTAATGCTATAACGCCACTGAATAAAGCGGAATTTATTGCTGAATATTTTCACGGAGTGTCCGTTGTTGTAGTCTCGCAAGACCCTCGGCCAGGCTTAGATCCATGGCACGCAAATAAAATCACAAAAGTCTCCCTTCCTCTTGTGCTGCTGAATCCACTGCCCTTCGGCCCTCTGTCAGTGTCTCCTGGGCGTCTGCGGCGAACCCCCGCCGGAACTGCTGCTCACCGACGTCTGGCGACCGATGGAGCCCGCGCGCGAAGTATGCCTCTGCGGGATGACAAAGGGTGGCGGAGGCTGTGGAGTGCACTGAGGGGGAATCGATGTGGCAGAGGCTTGACGCATCAGCGGACGACTGGCAGCTGTGCTGGACTGCTGCACAGTCCCGGCACGCATGAGAGGCGGCGGCGGCTGGCCAGTGCGCGGAGGAATTGCCGGCGGAGGACCGCGCATTCCCACGGATCCCTGAGATTGGACTCTGGGCGGTATTTGGGGCAATTTCGAGGGTGGCTTGCTCGACGGGGGCTCACTTTGGGTGGAGGATTGGCTGAGGATGCGTGATGGAAGACTCGGTGGACGCTGCGGTGGGCTCTTTGGCTTCGGCGGAGGAGCTACAGCCGGCGGAGGCGAGGAAAACTTGGGCGAGGTGGTCTCCGCCGGCGGCTGGACAGCAGTTGTTGTGACTGTGGGTTTCTGCGGTGGCGTCAAGGGTTTTATCGTGATCTGCTGTGCCTTGGGAGTCTGTGCTTGAGGCTGTTGTGGCTTCTCAGGTGATTTCTGCACTTTTTGGGGCTGTGCTTGAGGCTTCTGCTGTGGCACTGGCTGCTTCGGCTGCTGCTGAGGCACCATCACTTGCTGCTGCTGCAGATTCGCCAGGAGGGCGGGATTCTTCTTCTGATCCTGTCCAGCAGCCACATAGGAGAAGACGCACAGCACAGAGTAGCAAATTTGATCAGCCTGCAAATACACGTAATTTTATTGTTTGAGAATATATCCAAGGATCTTGTGCTTTCTGCAATGTGGTTCTAATGATGTCACAATTTGGACTCCAATGTACATGCTGGTTAATTCCGAGATGGGTTTATCTAGCAAAAAGAATAAGTAAACAGAGAGGAAGACTTACATTGTAGATCAATTTTAGGGAAACACTTAAACCAAAAAAAAAATCCATCATCGTCCGTCCACGATGATATTCCATCAGGTATCTTGAACCATTAAACACTCTCTTCGCTCTTGTTTTCATCACAAATATAGTGTATTTCCTCAATATGTTGGGTACTTTTATATGCAATATAAACAACAATTAAAAGTGGACAAAGAAGGCATGCAAACGCTTGATCTATCTGAACTTTGTTACACATGTTCTACAATATTACATTATCATGATATCTCAGCGCTTTTCGCAACGAAACTTAAAGAGATTTACAAATGATAGGCTAAAGAATAGAGTGGGAAACAGACACGTACCCACAGCCAGAATCACAGAAATATTCTCAATTTCAACTACAGAAAAAACTCATCAAATCTCAACATGTTGTCTTTTGTGTCAATTCCTCGAGTTTCCGTGTGAAACATATAGAAAACAATCTATGGAGACATAGCGCAGCTTCCGGAGCCTTTAAAAGTTATGTAGAAAATTACAGTAATAAGAACACTATAGAAGTTTGTTAAAGAAACTATTTCTCTGCATGCAACAAATAACATGGAAATCTTTATCGTATTTCTCAAAACACACAATGAGACAGAGAAAAGTCAACAATTTAAGAAACATGATCTCCCACTCACCATTGACGATTTGTACTTGCGCTGAATGATTTGGCGTGTTTTTGGATCTGCAAAGGCAAAAAAGTGCAATTGAGGTCGCGATGTGAATGACTTTTTGTGATTGCGATACTCACTGTACTCCTCGAGGATGAAAATGCCACCCTTTTGCGTGAAGCACTTGCGAATGTGGTCCAAACGTACGAAAAACTAAAAGGAGAATCGACATACAAATCAATGAGTGGCCCCAAGATAAGGACTATTCGTGTGATATTGTGATCAACTATGTGTGACTCAATCCTTGAGAGGGAAATCAATAAATGCACTTCTACGTTAGAAGAAAAGCTCTTCATTCACATTCTCAACATGCGTCATGCATAAGCTCAACTCTGCAGTGTCAACTCTAAGCAACTTCTACTCTAGCCCTAGAGAAGTCACGCAAAAATCTAACAAGACGAAACGAAAATCATAAACAGACAGAAAATAAAAACATAGTGAGTAAATTTGGTGACCAAACTTAGGATATAGACAGAAAATAAGTAGAATGGCTAAATGAAAATAGAAGAAAGCACTTTTAATTCTCTATTACAAGAGTTTCAGTAATGTAAAATGTAAAATTATTCAGTACTTGTGAGATGGTCGTAATTCTTTATTATAGTCTGAGAAATACTCTTTAGATTATTTATAGTAAATACATAATAAAGCACTCTGTTGCTCCTCTTGCCTCACTTGGAGACATCGCTCAGTCCATGTAAACCACAGTAATTTGTTATTCATGTCTTTTGATAATTTTTTATTTTGCATTATGGTCTCTGGCTGGAGTATCTCATAGCACTAATATTACTTCAATTTTATTTGTCATAGCAAGGCCAATACAGTAAAATTTATTTAAGTTATACACTAAATTATAAGGAAACGTATTGTACAAAATGCAACTACTTAGAAAGATGTTCATATAAGTTTAGGTTCCCGCATTGTGTATTCCAAAAAACCATAAAGAGTTCTTGATATCATTTGGAAGGGTGTGAAACAAACATTAAACCATATCTAAGAAATCTCAAAAGTATGTGTTAAGAAAAGAAATTAAAAAAAATAAAAGATTGATTATTAACACTTTTATTGTCAAATTCGGTAATAAAAAAGCGTTTCTGTTGAAGTTCTTATACACGTCAAAAAATAAATATAAATGAATAAATTCAATTATGTAAGAAATTGTTGGATTTCTCAAATACAGCATGCAAGTTATTTATTACTAACTATAAAGAGATAGTAAATATAGTAAATTCAATGAATTTTCTACTTCAAATGGATGGTTTATGAATGTGACGATATATTATCCTCATACTGCATAATATATAATAGAATATTTTGCATGAATTCAGCTACAATCTTTGCACTTTTATTTGATGCTTTAGTGGGGCGTTTGACAATGTTTCTCCATGTGTGGGTGTTGTGAGATTTATTGATATAGATGTTGTGTACAAAAGTCAGTGTTTAACAAACTAAACTCTGCATACCCTGAAAGAAGATGCACTTGACAGCTTCTCTCAGGGCACAGCTTGAGTGTGAACAGAAAGAAAATATTTCTTTAATTACAGACAAAATCTTTGTAAAGTCAATTTGTAAAAGCTATTTCACTAATACACTGTGTCTAGGAAAATATACAATATTGCTTCAAGTCATAAACATATTAGAAAAGAGTGATAAGAACACAAATATCGCCACTGAAAATTTCAATATCATATATAAAAAATCTTTTTCGAAAATTACAGAATTATTCGAAACCAAACTGAAAAATTGCATTACTTTAAAATCAATGTCAGCCACAATTAGAAAAATCCAACAGAAAAACTCAAGTGTATATAGAGACAAACTATTGCAAAATTCTCTCTCGAACAAAATTTAACAATACAATTTTTTATGTAGCAATAGGAAAAATAATAAAATATCACTCAATAAAATTTAGGGTTGATGAATGAATTTCTATAGTTGATCGTTTTGACTTGTGTTCTTTTTAATCTTTTGTGATTATTTTAATATAATTTTGCAAATTTATACCTCAAAGTCCTTTGAATTCAGGCGTAGACCAAAGTTCCAAGGATGAGATCAGGATAGAAGTTTGTGGAAAGGTGACCAAGTGAAGCAGCGATAAAATCAATTTTTATCAATGTTAGTTTAGTCGCATCGTTAATCTCATTTTCTTCTTTCTCCATAATTTTACAGTTGATAGGCTTTTTATGCTTATTCCAAAGTTAAGAAGCTAACTAAGCAAATGAAATATTTTTTTATGGATCACTTTCCTATACAATATATTACAATTTCTTGCGACAATGTTTGCGATATACTGATTGTTGTTTGCCATATGCTTTGTTTATTACCTTCTATCGAGTTAATTAGAACTTTCTCGTCATAACAACATCCCAAGGACCATCTCAAAAGTTACCAACCCGAAATCTCCGCATTAATTTCTTAGTCAGAAACAGAGATTTACTTATTTCTTTTTTTTTCGTGTTAGCTCAAGAAATATATTTGTTAGTTTAGGAAATAATAAGAGAAATGAAAGAAAAATAGAATATAGTTAGAGGATAGTATATAAATATGTTGATTATATATATCGAAATATATAATAAAAAATATGAATAAAACAACAATAGCATTATGCACATTTATGATTAAATATAGAATAATTTAATTTTAGAGATTTTAACTATCAAATTCAAAATTCAAACAACAAAATATAAAATGTTTTCTGAGACTCGTCATTTTTAGTTTTAGATATTAGTCGTAAAATTTCATAGGCGCTTCGAGAAAATTTGGAGACTTCAGGCATTCACAAAAAGTTGTATGCATTTTGAATAGAAGGAAATTCTCTTGACATCTCTTATGCGATATTTTGCTCACAGCTTACAGAGAAATTCATTTCATATCGATGCCATAAGTACAGTGTAATAATCGCGAAATTGAAGGTGAGAACTTGAAAAATTGTCAATTGGCAGATGCATTATTGTGTGATTTTTGGCACTCAATCAAATTATTTTAGAGAAATATAATAGCCTTTCATGACGCGCGTTCTTCTTTGCATTGCATATCCTTATATATGTAGATAATAATAAGTAACCAAATGAAGAAAATAGTATACTTGAGACAAAAGCATATAATATTTATAAGGAGTATCTTCCGTTCTTTGGAGTAATTATCATATTTATATTGGAAAAAAATAACCATGAAAATTTTTACAAATAAAAATATAATTTTATGGGTTATATAAAAATCAAAATCATGCAATTCAATGCACTATTGAATATATAAATATGTATTATATAATGTATATATAGATAATTAGCAGTATATGTAAAATATTGAGGTAATTTCAATTTTTCTGATGTAAATTTGACATATTCAAAGGACGTCTAACGGATGTTTTTATTTTTATGAAAAATAGTTAATGATAATTTTGCAAAACCAAAATTTTATGCATAAATTCATCACTAAGAGAAATAAGAACGATAAAGAATATATGAAACCAAACCAGAGTGATAAAAGAAATTTATCAGAGTACCTTAATTTCTTATTTCTTTTAGAAATCAAACAATATAATATTGAAATTAATGTGAAATAAATGTACATAATGATTGTAAAAAAGTGTGTTTCGAAGCACGAGAAGGTCCTTGTAATGTCATGATATATTAATAATTTTATAAGTATTTCATATTCACTCAAATCCGTTAGATTTCAATGGATAAAAGAATTCCTTACTTTCATATATTCTCATAATCTTAGTAAAGACATGGCTCAACTTTTAAACTAATTATTATTTGAATTACGGATAAATATGGAATATTTTTATATTTGAAAAATCTGTGGAACAAATATGAAAATATTCCAATGCAGGAGCGATAAATGATTATATTCATATAAGTTAGACAGAATACGATAAATAGAAATATTCTGGAGCATTCACTATATATCACTGAGATTGTTCAACATAAGTAATGTTCTTCTCAATTAATCGTTACTCTTATCATAAAACACACTAATGAGAAATTGAGATGAAATATTGTGAAACTAGAGAAGTAATGTTGTAAAGGAATTGTATGTAAAGGCGTTTTGGTTTTCTTTTCCATCAGACAGAAGAAAGAACCAACAAGAGTGGTAATTCATATTTCAGAAAACTTCTTATTGTGTGTGTATTATGTTAGAACGTAGATTTGAGAGAAAAGAATTGTATAGATTGAGGTGGGGATAAAAAGTTATTCCTTACCTTGCTGTTGGCGAAGAGAAGTCCAACACCTTCAAGGCACACCTGAAGTAATCCACCCTCACCAGTTGTCATGTCCTGCACTGGAAACTCTCCGCCGAGTTCTGGCAGTGATTCCGGCGGTCCACCGCGTTCCATTGCCTCCTTAATGCAATTGTACAACTCTTTGCACTAGTCGAAAGAGAAGTTGTTAGTGAACTTCATCAGTGATTGGCAGGAAGTTTGTGGAACTTACTTTTCTCGTATGGTACTTGTGCAACTGAGTTTGACCACCATTCCGACGCCACAAGCACAGGACTTTGGTCTTGGGCGAGTAGGTCATATTTACCAGCCTCTCGTACCACCATCTCTCGACTATTGTTCCCGTAACCGACCTGAGAACCAGCCCATCATCGCGGACTTCCATGAAACGCAGCGGACCCGTGGCATCAACGCCCTGCTGCACAGAGAAACTCTGTCGGTGCAGGAGTCTCGATCCCAAGGGCTTCAAATCAATGTCATTCCCATTCTGCAATAAAGCAACCATTTAATTTACTGCTCAATCACAATCACTAACTATTTACTTACCAAATTCATTACTTGGTCCAGCAGATGATTGACTTCCTGTGAATAAACCAGTCCAATGTGACTCTTTCCCAACAGTCGCCTCACTTTCCGCTTAATTTCCTCCTTGTGCACATTCAACATCACCAGCACGGCCGTCAAATTATATAGCATCGTCGACAGGAGGCGATCTTCATCGTGTTCGAGGCGTTTTCGCTCTGAATCACTCAATGACTTGTATCTCTCCATCATCTCCCCAGGACCCTGATCCATTCCTATCATATCACGCTCTTGACTCACTGCGTCCAGGAAAGCGTCTTCCCAGAACTGCATCTGATCCCACAAGTTGAGTCGCTCCTTGCCCAAGAGACACTCAAACAGGTAAACTCTCGGGGCGTCAGGAGATGGTGAACTTGAAGTGAGCAATTGTCCTCCAGTGTAGCGAAATCCTGCACTCAGTGTTGACTTTCCTGACCAAATGCTGCTTGAGCGATTCTTATCCTTCGCACCAGACTGCTTGGGATTCTGCAAAACAGGTGGGAACAGTGTGATATTTCTTAGTACTGGAAGACAGTTGAGATTTCCACTATCTTATGGCTAAATGATCATGCAACAACAGGCTATAAAACTTGTTAAAAGTGGTAAGGAGGTGATACTTACATTCTCATACTCTGTATCAGACACAGTTGATCGACATGAAATCGACGGTATGAGGCCCCCTCCGGCTTGCAGCAACATTGGAGCATCACTGGCCACTGAGAGGGCCCCAGATGACCCATGCACTGTGCCCTGAATATTACATACAACACATATACACACCACAAATACAATTTTGTTCACTCAGCCCTTTCAATATCCTGCCAATTTCTCATCAATCTTTTAGCCGTATCAAAAGGAATCAATGAAAAGATAGTCAAGCAAATTATTCCAAATATATTCCCTTGATTACAGTCTCCATAGTTTATTAGCACAGCTGCTGGAATTCTCACAATTACCTCTGAGGCATTCATTATCTCTAATTAAGTAACATCGTGCAAATATCCTCTTTTATGCGATGCTCAGCGAGATAAATTGTTTTTTGAATAGAGATGATTAATTTCCTCTGTAATTCCCTTGGATAATCATCTCCTTGCACAGAGGATGATATACATATAGAGACTGCATGCAAGAAATCTAGGTATCATTACGTAAATTGTACTGCAGAAGAGACATGGCTTTGCGAGATGAGACAATATATAGCCTAATTAAACTACACTGCGCATCGTCAAGGGTTGTCATTTATATCAGATTATGTGTAAGCTTTCAATTATCCATCACTGGCTTTTTTTTATCTTTCATTCAGCAGTATTTTTTTTTAGTTTCTCTTGAGTTACTTTGGATGCCCACATACAAGAATATCCTGTGCAACTAAATCAACTGTACTCACATCTGAATCGAATGATGTCAGTTTGCTAAGCAGCATGTTTCTCTTCTGAGTGAGCATATCCTTGAAGATCTCCGTCGTGGACTGTTCAGCATGGACTGGAGGATCATGCTCGGAGAGACGCCTCATTTGCTCAGGCGGAGCAACTGTGGAGTTCTTCCGAGAGCCAGGCTGCATTCCTGCCCAATCCGCCTCGCCGGTGGGAGACTGAAGGTTCTCACGACTGCCCATGGGACTCACGGACTGGCTCGACAGGAGACTGGCTGACAGATCTCCTCCAGCTTCGGTGAGCTCCTTGCTCCAGAAATGAGTGTGAGCTATTTCCATCATTTGGAACACCGAAGCCATTCCCCCCAGCCCGAAATTCGAATACGTGTGATCTAGCCCGTGAGCTATAGCCTGGAGACACTTCTGCATGCCTCGATAGACAGGCTTCGGAACGCACTGCAAGAGGAAGCCATTATAATGAGCGACTAACAAGGAAATTATTAAAGTGAGTGCGAAAACTTACCACATCGTCAATGTGATCATCTGGAGCAATTTTCTTATCCAGAGTTTTATTAAGTTTTCCCAGAACAAGCATTCTGTACGACTCATCTTCCATTAGTTTCTTTAGTCGATTTAGCTTTAACCACCCAACTCCCTCACCTGCTAACACTTGATTCATGAGCTGCGGAGAGAAAAAGGTACAATTTGATAATCCTCGAAGGAAAATCACATAAATTGGATCTCACATCTTTCAGGAAAGCCTGATTCTCAGAATTGCTAGAAGCTTTCTCTGCATTTTGCTGCCTCTGTATCTCCTCCTGGGTCTGCCTTGGCCCCGAATGCTTAATCAAGGGTGTGCGCTCGACCAGAGCCTTCCGCCCAGGAAATGAATCAAATGGCAATACTTTCTCTTTTGGCTTGCCACTCTGCATAGCGGCTGAACCACCCTTCTGGCCACTTTGTTTCTCTGCAGACACATAAATCAATTTTCAGTAAAGCTCCAGAATCCTAACTTGGGATAATAATCCTCAAAAATAGCTCACCATTTTTCCCAAATAATCCCGAAAACATTGTCGATGTGGAAGACGTTAAGCTGTTAATCTCGCTGCTGAAGGATGAGAAGAAGTCCCGACCCGTGCCAGCTATCATGTTGTTCCCCTGAGTGCTAACGAGAGACGTAGCTGGTGACGCAGAAACGCTCGGGGGTTGAGTGGGTGGCATCAGTTCCCCAGTGGTTTTCATTAGACCCTTCTTAGCTGCCGCCTCCTTGGCTGTCTTCGTGAGATCGCCCAGAGTGGACTTCCCGACGTACGTCAAGTCATCCAGTGTCGTCTTACTCACACCCGCCGCCTGTTTGGAGGCCTCAATGGCCTGCTTAGAGGCCTCGCCGGCGGCCTTCTTTGCGTGGAGCGTCAACTGTAAATACACCACAAGATAATCAATCCAAAACTGTGTCCAACACACGCACCAGAGAAGTAAGAAAGTACTTGAGAAAAATTCAGAATTTGACTGTTATATCATTTTCAGTGTAGCAAATGAATATGTTATATGCACAAACTAATGATTTTCCACTAATTGCTCTAGTTAATGTGCACTCAGAGATGACAAGCTCCAAATTAGTCGCCAAGTGATTTGCCATATTCATGTTAAACTCTTTGCACTTTGCCAACATTCGCTCACCTGTTCCAGTGGAGCTAATATCATTTTTCTATCTTCTTCTGCTATTTTCTCCTTTGTCTGACTTTTCAGCTAGGATATCACAGAATTATGTCAACTTTACGTCCTCCCCAAAGCGTAGAGAGTAGAAGTGTTTCTGGTATGTGGGAATGTATTTCAAATTGGCACTCACCTTGTCCACATGAGCCAGCAGTCCATCCTGACTGCTTTGGCGCGTTGTTTCACGGACGAGTTCCTTGGCCTGCGAAGCAAACTGCTCGAACAGCGATCCTTGACTGCTCTGGCGCTGCGAACCAGCCGATCCCAAGGGTGGAGCATGAATTGGAGGACTCTGAGATCCCGATCCAGTGCTGGTCTGTCGTGTCAATCCTGGGCTTATTGGAGAAATCTGGCCAGATAGAATAAAACGCCGCATTACTCATCAATCAAACTGTCCACAGAAAGTCTCCTTACAATATTCCTCTGGAACTTTGCTGTCGCACTTCGTCGTTCGGAGTCAATGAGACTCTCCTTGGATGTGTTCTGACCCGAAACAATTGTCTTGGGTGTCGTTGTCGAATTTGAATCCGACTCATTCTCAAAACTTCCACCCTCTTCCTTCTCCTTCGCCAGCAGCGTTTCGCTCTTCGCCTTGCCGGGAAACTCAAACTCCGAATCCCTATTGAAACTGGGCGAACTGAGATCCGATCGACTCGATGACGATGACTGTGGTGAATCTGGGCGCGCATCATCAATCTTGACTGGCTCCATTCCAACTGGATACTGCAATTTACTTGGCGGTCTATAGATTAACTTTGGATCCAAGTTTGATGACATGGTTTGTGGATTGTGATGCTGATGATATTGCCCACCATATACATCATGAAGACTGGGTGATAAATCTGAAGAGACCATTTCAGAAACAAAATCACTTAGAGAAGAATATGAGGAACTCGTACTTTCTGCTCCCTCAGAATCCGATCCACTTTCATCCGTCGGCTGATTCTCCATCTGCTGCAGGCTCCGCAGAGCACCATTCAGTGAGCTCCCATCGTCCCACACGGAGAACCGAATGGGCGTGAGCGCATGGGCGAACCACTTGGGCTTGTCCCCCACCTGGCCAGGATCCAAGACACCCGTGTGCACGCGCAGGAACGCCACATTGCTGGGAGTGAGCGACCACTCCGCCAGAAACTCCACCGCCTGCGTTCGCGCAAATCTCCCCAAGAATCCGGATGCCCGCGGTCTGGATCTCAGGAAGCTATTGATCTGGAATGCCACCACTGGTCGCGGATACAGCCTCAGCGTCCGCGTGTGCTCAGTGAAATTGGCCAGGGTGTTTTGCGAATTGAAGAACCTCACCATCGCCACACGCGTCGCCACATCCACAGAGTCCACGTCGCTCACGTAGATGAAGGGATTGATTGTGGGCGGCGCAATCGGAGAGGCTTGTCGGGGCGTGTGGGTTCCGGGGGCGGAGAAGGAATTCCTCTGGCTGCCACTTGGCGAGCCAGAAGGCGGATGATCCTGAGTCTTCACAATGGAGACCCTGCGGAAAACCGTGAAATTAAGTTCTGCAGCAATTTCTCTGGCACGCATTGCCCAAAACCCAATGCATCTTCGTGTGTGGATAGAGACGATAGACATTCGGCTAAGGACATATCGTGTTTCCCTTATATATTCCTCTCATCCTTACCCCAACACTGGTGGTGTTGACAAACTATCCCTAATTGAAGGGAGAAGCGGTTGGTTCGCCACGGCACTTGTTGACATTGAGCTCAGTGCCTTGAGATAAAATGATAAATTGTCAGTGGAAATTTAATATTGTGCCCAGAGGGTGGATAGTCGTTAAATAAGGCTCTATGTGCTCGTGTTCTTGATAAAGGAAATTCTATCAAAATCACTTTAAGACGCTGACTTGGACAGAAAATAAGATTAAACGTGCAACAACAATATATAGAAAAGACAGTGTCAGAGATGAGAAATTGATATAATAGCGCGAAGACGACGATGAGGGGAGAAATAGAAAGCATAAACTCAATATAACATGACATATATAGCAAAAGTGATATTTACACCAGATCCTGCCTGATCCATCAGTTGCATAGCCTTCACACGCGAGGAAGATAGGCGAGTATTATGTGAAAAAGTGTGTTGTGTTAACGAAGGAAATAAGAAAATTGAGGAAGAGAGAATAAATTTATTGTGTCTCACAAATAGACGTTGTCTTCAATTTATGTGCATCTCATATTCGTGGATTTCCACTCAGCTGGCATCCTTTAAAATTCAAATGTGTGAATTTCTGCACTTCCGCGCTCACGAGAATGGCATCTTAATCATTCATATCCGAACTGTGTGCACTTCTATACATGAATTTCAAAGGATTCCAGTTGACAACCCCGCCTGTTCTGGGCAGTCTAATTTTGCATGATAATTTTGAATAAACAGATATGATAGTCGATAGTGGAAATAAGTTGAATAAATGAAAAATATTAAGATGTGTTTCACATAAACGTGACATTCCATATATTCAATTTTGTCTTGTAATTTGAGAGGTGTGTTTATGTACAAAATCCGAAAGAAATTAGTACATCACTGGCACCACATAGCATTGAATAGAGTGTCTGAATGAGAGAGGCACACAAGGAGGACATTGAAACGGACTTACTTGCTTCAGGTGATTCTTCAGGATGGTCCCTTCCGGCTCTGGGAGCGGTGGCAATTCATCACCACACGCTCCGGATGACGTTAACTTGTTCGAATCCAAATCAACCAGCCAAATATCATCGGGGAGCCTGAAGGAGAGACGAAATCTTAGACTTCTCACACTCGACTTGATGGGAAGAATCTACCTAAAGTTCTTCTTGTACAGGAGAAATGACGCTGGAATGCCAATGACAAAGGGCGTAGGTGCTAGCAATAGCTGCTCAGCGCAACTCATGCACGTCGGGAGGAGTGGAATCACTGGAAACATGTATTCCAGCGGATAGATCATCGTGACGAATGCCATCACGCTCATCGACAGTGCATTGTAGTCGCGCGATTGGAAGAGCACCTTGTTTTCCAGCAGTATAAGCGTGAGAACTTTGAGGCATGTGTCCACCCCGAGAAGCTCGAGCGGCAGGTGAAGCGGAAAGTCCACCAGTTTGAAGCGCGTGTGATCGGGCAGAGCGAACAGGAGCGGCTCGTGCACGCTATTCGAGAGGACTTCCACTTCTATCCGCGTGGAGCCTGGCACAGGCACCGGAGCGGACAGGAGACGCAAGATCCACGTCTCAATCTCCTTCACGTCGTGTATCACAATTGAGGGTGTGGCCTCTGTCACTTGACCCGTGAGCACAGTCCACACGTTGTCCCTGAAACGCAGGAAAAAGAGCAGACATTAGGTGATATGTAATATTTTGTGACACATGTTAGTGAACTTTCGGGCCGCAAGGGAGTAATGAAGTATCTCGGGGTTGATGATCTGTCGACTCTTGACACTGTCTTTTACCCCGACAACCCTCGTTCTCTCCCATGGGGGATAAATAAACACCACTCATTGTTGTGTCTATTGCTTTCTGATATTCTCCGCACCTTCGCATTCATCTCAGGTCTCGTGAACATTGATAAATATTTCTCTTAATTACCTGCCAACTTGCTTGGACGCTCCCACACGACGTGGACTCGAGGATTCATTGCACGCATCTATTAGCTTCTTCAAGATGAAGAGACATTCGCGGAAGGTGGAGAAGAAAGGGTGATGGGAGAGCAAGCAAAGCGACGTAAGCGAGTGATTTCGCACCTTCGCACGCCTTCGACTGGCTCTTGGCGACGGCGAGTGACTTCCGCCGGACTCAGAATCACCGGCTCCCGGATGAGTGACACTGAGACGAGCGTGCTGAGGTGGATCGGAATCTCTACGACTTGGACAGTCCCGATCCGAGTCACTGGGCGCCACATTGCTGCTTCTGTGATCACTGGAAGAAGTTAATATCCCAAAACTATTAACTCAAAATTGCCATTGTCATTTAATATGCGATGCAAACACAACACCTACAATTTATTATGCCACTCACCACGGTCTTCGTAAAAGCATCTATGTGGAATTATTGAAGCAACAACTCATAAAATCAAATATTTTGAAAGACTCATCATTGTCATTTCTCTCAACAATATACTGAAAACCCGAGTTCTTAGTATAATATTACCACTTAATCCCTTTATCCGCTGTATAAACATCAAAACCATCTCGTAATTGAGTTAGGATAATAGACGATAGAGGTGAAAACCGAACAATGGAGAGTTAACAAGAAGATGAAGACCATGGTGTTAAATTAAGCACATTTTCACATCATCTAGAATCACCTTGAGAAGGCCGAATCGGAGCTCCTCTCCATGGATTTCCGCCAGGATTCTCGCCTCAATGCCGAACTCCTTCCACGGCGACTTCCCGTGACGACGGCCGTGCTCGCCGGTACGGCCTTCTCCACAGGTCTATAGAAGTTCACGCAAATGCCATATCTCGTCTTCCCCGAATCCTTGTCGGTCAGCATGAAGACGAAGGACGAGGCATCTCTGATTGCCGAACCCGTCCTCCGGGGCCCAACACTCACGCATCCTTCGGGCTGACAAAAGTACACCATGTCCAGTGGCAGAGGAAAGTCCGCATGATCCGACGGCGGATATCGCCGAAGGAGTTCAGGAATCTACAAAGAGCACAAATGATGCGACACTCGGCATGAAATTTCCATGCAATCGCAGAACATGTAACACAATCAATTTTCTCAAAATAGATTCCAACTCAATCATGGAAAATTCTCTGATGCGTTTCCTCCTTCCCCACTTCTGTCAATTGATGGTATATTGGTGGTGCTTTTAAAGCGGATGTCATAAAAGTGGGAACATTACAATTTCACGCTCGACTTCCATCAAAATCAGAATTTATCCGTAAATTTAAGTATTTATTGGAATGTGCTTTATTGTCCTGCGGCCTTTCGAGATCCTCTCTTCATGCCACTCTGTCACGATAAATGGCAGGAATCGCACGATAAGGAGAAAATGCCCCGAAGGAAGGTTTATTACATTTTCCAAATGAAATCCCAAAGTCGATAAAAAGGTATGGGCATTAAAAATGTTCCATTGAACACTGAAATATATGTACGGTCTCATGTGGCTTTTAATTCCAATCCCCTCAGAGTTGAATGAAGGAAAACTATCCCTTTAATTCTGCCTTTCCCACACTTTTTATTACATGACACAAACGAAGAAATTAAAATAGTAGAATCTATAAGAAAATTTATTATTCTATAAAGAGTAAAAAGTGTGCTAAATCAAGTGTAATGAACTTTTAATGTAATTTCTGAGATTTCTCATGAAAAAATAATGGAGATTTATGCCATTTTGCAACCCAAATGAAGCTCTTGGAATAGCTTTTCTACTTGAGCTCTTGTCAATTTTCCACCACCCACAGAAGTAACCTTGGAATAGCATAAAAATCTTATCAAAGTTTGAGGTCAGCAGTTGTCCACGAATCTATTAAAATTTACGCTCACACAAACATGACATTGAAAGAGGCCAGATAATTTCATTAATATATTTAGCAAATACATTGTTGGCCATTCTATGAAAGCATCACAGCCAATTTGTGAATCTAATGAATTCAGGTCAATTATGCCCTTTTATCTCGATTAATTATTCAGATGAACTTTGACATTTCATCGATGTAAATATTTTTGCAGGAGCCTTGAACAATTCCGCCTGGGGTATATTAAAATATTTTCCAACATTTCATCCGTGTTGGCGCAATCATACTCGGGAAAATTTTCAATCAGAATAATTTGCATAACAATGGCATTCATTTAAAATTAAAATGAACATTCGGGAGAGAGTTTGATTGAACCGCCTGCGCTTTTAATTGAAATCCCGCACATAATTTGCAATTATGAGTAGTCAAAGTGATAATTGCTCACCTGAACAGGAGGATTAGACGCATTTCCGGCACGCGGAGTGGCACTAACACGTGCTCCGACGATTGCCAAGTAGTCAATGAGACGTGGACAGAGGAATTGCCGCTGAATATCCGCCATCCTGATGCTCCCTTGTGTCCTCGTTTAATTTGCCAATCTCTGCAATCAACAGCACAACACAAATCAAATCACTTTCTCTCAAATTTAATTACAGATGGAAGCCGCGATGTTCGGAGTCTTTCATTTGCAGATGGCAGCATGAATAGGGGAGAAAGTCTTGCTAATTGCCATCACCCACATGAAAATCCTCACGAGGCACGTACAAAACGATGCTCACAGTTAAAATCTCACGTCATTTCAAAGTTAGGGCCAGAGCAGAGTCCTTGGAGCGTACTTAGGCAATCTCTCAAGACGATAAAATTCATTTGGAAATCTTTTTGAAAACTCTCCCGCTCTCGAGAACTTCCTCAAATGTGAATATCTCGTTTGAATTTCAATTCAATATAAAGTTTATTTGAACAATTTATTCTGTCGCTGCCATTCTTCGTGTGTATAAGCGGGAAAATTTCACTCAAACTCCCGCATTCATTTCCCATTTTCGGAATATTTCATGTGCGAGGAAGATATATTTGTGATGTAAAAGAAAATCGATATTGAGAATTTCGCCAAAGATTAGATACAAGCAAAAATGGTGAAGCGTTTACATAATCCTTTGCTCTCACTCGATAACAGCCACCCATTTAAGTTTTACTGCCGACATATTGATTACTCGCGTATTATCTCCCTTTTTGCACCATACTTTCCTCGGCGTTATGAAAATTTACAGCAAATTAATTTACATCGCTGACGCCCGTATTGAGGCACAAGATTGCGACGTCAGTCAGACGGGGCGCAAATTGTGTAATTGTATTTTATCACCATTTGCTGAACAGAACAGAATGAACTTTTCATGTTGGGGCAATTGAATTGCTTAATTTCCAGCTGGGAATATGCTTTTACACTTTCATCCCATTGTCCACACTTTTTCCTTTAATTGACAGCCATGTGAGGTCCTTGCTTGCCTAATGGCATCATTCAATTTAATATCACTCGACGGCCAATATTTCCTCTTCGTCAACTTTCGTAGTGCGATAATGGCAAAAGTTTGTATTACTTTATACCCTGAAGATATGGACGATTAATTTTCCGTCCATTATGCATTATCACGTTTCTAATTGTTACGATTTAAAAGGCAAGACTGTGGTAAGTTGAAAACTATTGTGCTGTTCAGTCTGACAAAATATTTAGTCGCTGATTTTCAAAGACCATGAAATCGGGATATAAAAACCAAAAAGCGCAACCAAAGTCAGCACAGATCAATTTTTAAGCGACTTTCGTGGATTTCCATACTATTTCTTAATAAAAAAAATACATAATTTCATTTTCAGATTAGATATTTTATTCAAAACGAAATTAATACTGAAAAAAATTGTAAGTGAATCAGAAACTAATTAAAACTTAATCTTAAGTAAAACAATTCCCACTCATTAATTAAACTAAGCCCACGACAAAATATTCCAATTTCCTCACAAGAACCCAAATTAAACCTTTAGAGCGTACAAAATAGACTTATAAACTAATTAGACGGTCAATTAACTGTCCCTTCTTATTTAACATTGACTACCTGTAACCTTTCGAAATATATCTCAATTAGTTCTAAAAGCTGACCTTTGCCTCTAAAATAAAGGTTAAATAAATGAATCTTTCTGGAAATGCAATATTATGATAAGGAAAGTCAATAAAACTGTGCCAATTCTTCTCCGTTCAGCAAAATTTTGCAGTATTTGCGAGAAATCTAGCATCTTATCGCATTTCCTGCAGCATCATGGCGATAAACTTGCAGCGAAAGCTCTGAAACGGAAATGGTGTCAATTCCGCTGATGTCTTAAAAGGAATGCCTAATAAACTTCTCATGTCATCGCCAACACTGTTGCTGAGCATCTAATAAGAAAATGGAATTTATCTCAATTCTCTTAAGCGGAAAATTCCATCACGTAGCGTTTGTCTCATTTTCGACCGGGAAATTTTGCAAATTGTCCTCTATATTGTGATTCATGAGATTTTTAGGTGTTTTCTCAGCATAATTGGTGACCCAATTTCACCCCCAGATCGATTTCCAGAACTGTCTTTCCACCAGTCCACGGAAGAGCGATATATTTGTGGGCAAATATTTGCATTTACACCTCTCTTGGATAACTCCTAATTGTTGATTCAGCGAATGGTAAAAAGGGAGGAGCTCCTTAAACCCACATTGGCACGTGAAATTAAATCCTTTAAACCCTCCTCGTCGGTCAGGCCGAATTCCGCTCCTCTTTCTCGCCCCGAGAGAGTGGGAAAGCCAGGAAAAAGTCCCCCAGAAACACCCCGAGAAACTTATTGATTTTTCCTCTATCTGCGCTGGGGAGCCTACGTCAAGCTCAGTTGCACTGTGACGTGGAATTTGGCGAAAACCCAGCGAAGAAACACCCCCATGCCATGCAATCGATTGACTTTTCATGTCACAGCACCACAAAAATACCCCCAAAGTCGTCTTCAGGGCCAAAAGTGGAATTTTCATGCAATGCAAAAAATGGCGTTCTTACCAAGTCATCTTCATTGGGTCACACGTCTTCCCAATTTTCGCTGGAAAATCAGCAGCAGAACGCGATAAAGTGTTCCATTTCGCTAACCATGGCTGTCTGTCGTCACTTTCCCCGCAATTAAGTTGCAAGCAATGCACTGAATTAACGCGAAAAGCACAATTTTCACTTTGGCTGGTGCTGAGCTGCCTTGGGGAAAATTGATAGCGACGGAGCACCTGTTCGAATTTCCAGCCAGCCCTCAGGACGTCCAAGTATCGACTGATAAAAGGCCACGAGAGGCAAAACCACTTGGCATAGAAATGGAATGTGCAAAGGGGCGCATGTGCACCACTACATCTCCTATATAAAGTGCTTAAATTGCCATAAAATCGGTTAGCATTCAACCACTGGAGCTGAACGCAGCCGAATAACCAACCGAAATACGGTTTGTGTCTCGACTTGCCAAAATATATATCGAAAAGTTCATTTTTTTCTTTGTTCCGTTAACATAAATGCTGCTGTCTAAAATATGTGGATTTGTTAACTGATCAAACTCATAAAAAATTATGTGACATAAAAATAATTACCATAATTTACATTTTCTACGCGCGTGTAAAATAAAGTCTTGAGTCCACGTTGCCGCCTCGGAGAATTTTGCGGCTCACTGTGTCAATGTCACATATTTTTCCGGGGCAGAATTTCTCAGCGCGAAGTCAAGGAAAAGGGTGGCGAAATGGAGCAGTGAGAGTGGTCTGATGAGGGAAGATGAGTGACTCCAGTGCCCTGGCCATTGAGGAAGTGTACGACCACGTGAAAAAGGCGAACTACGCGGCAGCCTTCAATCTACTGATGGAGAAGCTGGAGCTGAGCCCGGAGAAGAAGGCCACCATTGAGGAGCTCCTCTCGTTCGTGCTGCACCAGCACACGGATCAGCTGCAGTCGGAGGAAAAGTACGCCGAGCTCTTTGACTGCTACGACAAGGTGCTGCTGCAGTACCCCAAGGACTGCGAACTGCTCACGGAGCTGGGATCGCGGCTGTACAAGTGAGTGGGAAGCCCTGCTCGAGATGATCACAATTCTCTCGCGTTGCAGGATGCCCCTGGAAATTATCATGGACGCCGTCCGGCTGCACCTGAAGCGCGGCCATTCGCGATACTTGGCCAGACAAATCCGCCTCGTGAGCTGTGGTGTCCGGACGGGGTTCATTTGTGGCCCGCCACAGCCACAAATCGACGATCTGCGCAATCTCTTGCGAGAATTGCACCTTGCCAAGGTTATCAGTGACGGATGCACGCTCTTTGCATTCCACGGCGAGTTGTGCATCGTGAATTTGCCCATGATTCAGGATGCTTTCCAATCGAAACTGCCAGTTTTCGTCAATGTTTCTCAGAAACTCGAACAGCCGGAAATCATGCAATGTTCTGCGCGGAAGGTGCGGTATTTCCTGGAGGAGGTGCAGGAGAAAATGGGAATCGGGGAAGATTCTGTGACATTTTCACCGGAAATCTCTCTATCTGCGGTTTTAGGCCTCTTGGCGGGATTCCCGGTGATTTACTGGTGTGAAACTGAGAACAATTGCCTCTCTATGGTTGCCTTGAGGCAATTCACTGCCTCAATTGACAAGGAGGAAGTCTTGTCCTTCACAGTTCCTGAGATCCTAATGCACGACCAGGAAATCCAGAAGAGTTTGTCTCTCTGGAAGAGTTTTATGCATCAATCAGGAGTGACAATCGAGGAGAATATCCATCAGCAGCCCATAGTCATCCTCTAGCTATATGTAGTCAGTTTAGAGAAGAAATTCACCTGGAATTTTATCCACTGATTCCTCCCTTTTCCTCTCTTTCAGACTCGGACGCTACGTTGAGTCCTTCAGTTGTTTCCAGCAAGTTCTACAGATCGATCCGAAGCATCTCAAGGCCTTTCACAGTCTGCAGTATGTAAAGGACAAGCTGGTGGAGCGGTGGCACTTTCGGATGCTAAACGATTGCCTGCGGAACTGCATCTATGCGAGTGTGATTGCGTCCAAGGTGGAGTTGGGCTGCGACAGCGTGCTGGACATTGGCACGGGAACAGGATTGCTGGCATTGTACGCCTTCCGTGGACGTGCCAAGACAATCATGGCCTGCGAAACTTCGGACGTGATGGTTTCCATTGCCCAGAAAGTGTTCGCGGCGAATGGAATGCGAGATGTCGAGGTGATGGGCAAAAACTCTCGGGAACTCACTGAGAATGATCTTCCCCATGGGCGACCAAAGTTGATAGTTACTGAGATCTTGGATTGTGGTGTGTTCGGAGAGGAGATCCTGGAGACACTGATGCATGCCAAAGAACATCTGCTGGCTGAGGGCGGGGAGATTTTCCCCCAAGAAGTCACTCTCATCGTGGCGCCCTTCCAGTCACGATCAGTCGCCATGGGAAGTGTCCTGCTCAATGAATCCTTCGAAGACTACATCTTCCTGAACGGCTACAGCATCGTGGCTCCGCAGACTGACCTGTACGATACCATAAGTGTCTCCCAGCTGGCCTCCTTCGAGACCCTCTGTTCCCCAGTGGAGTGCCTGAAGGTGAACTTCAATGATCTGCAGCAGATGCGAGAGTCCTTCAACGGAGCGAGCAACACCGTGAAGATGCGCTGTGCGCAGTCCGGCTATGTGGACGGATTCGTGGTGTGGTTCAAGCTGGCAATCAACAGTCACGGATCAGCTGTGATCGAGAGCAGTCCAACGTCTGAGAGTTGTTGGGATCAAGCCATCTTCCGGCTCAATCAGCGGCTGTACGTGGAGGCAGGCCGAATGCTGACAGTAACTGTGTCCTGCAGCGGAGGACACCTTCGGTTGCGTCACGCCCACAATCAGCCCATGGAAAAGTGCCTGGAGATCCCCGAGGATGTGCTGCGCTTCATCAATGACACGGATTACCTGACCAAATTGGAGTATGATGTGAATTCGCAGCGAAAGGACGGCAGCTTTCCAATAGTGATGGACTTTTCGCCTTTTCCCTACCTGGGAATGATGCTTCTGAAGGAAAAGCGCGCCCGGAAGCTTTACTGCTCTTCTCAAGCTCGCAGCTTCATTGCCTTCGTGGCTGAGAATAACTGTATCGACGCCGGGAGCATTGAGTACCTCTCAAGTCCCCTGGATCCATGCGTGGCCAACGCCAAGGCCACCTTCGACCTCATCATCCTCGCGCCTGTTCAGCAGTGCGGCGACCTTAACAACACTCATGTGGCCATGTATCCGTTGCTGAGGACGATGTTGCAGCCAAAGGGACTCATCGTGCCCGACAGGATCGAAGTGGTGGGCAATATTATACGATCTGACTGGCTGGTGAAGTCCAGCATGGTGGTGAATCCGGAGATGGACACTTTCGGCATCTCTCCGCACATCAATCAGTACGCCACGCAGCACTTCTTGGACCTGAGTGGCAACTTTGAGCACGTAAAGTTGACCACACTGAAAATAGCCGATCTGGCACTCGATGACGCCCTCCATGAAACATCCGTGAGCTTCCGCGCTACGAAAGGTCAGAAGATCGATGGCATTCTCTACCATTTCAATATCTTCTTCACCAGGAGATCGGATCCACTTGTGACGCACAGAGCGGACGCGAGGAACTGCTGCTTCCTCAGTCGCGGTGAATGTGATAGCAAAGCTCAGCTCACAATCCACTTTGTGCAGAACTTCGGTCTCATCAAGTGCAGCATTGTTGAGTTTGACTGACTTTAGGACAAAAATGTACGTACCAATCAGCCCGTGCGCTAGGTGCTAGACCCAGAGTTTGAGAATCCAGAGAATCTCATGGCTCAGAGGCCGTTATATGCTGAAATCCAATAATAAAAATCGTGATAAACCACCCAAAGGCAGTCAAATTTGAATCCTCGTGGCGAATTTTCGCCGCGCGCTAGTTAGCAAGAGTGTCCGCGCGAGGGCGATAGTGTGCCGTAATTGTTTTTATATGCTTGTGTGCTCAAATTTATACAGAGCTTTTGTGCATTTTTTGGTGGGTTCTCCATCATTTTACTGGTCAAATTGTAGTGTTTAATGCAATATTGGACTGTGGGTGAAGCGATTGCGTTGTAGATAAATGGATATTAATCGTAAGTACAACGATATTGAGGTGGAAAATTTTCCTATATGGCACAGCGTCTTCCCATTAATGCCGCATTCAAACACACTATCAACATTTATTCGCCCCAAAATCACACTTTGAATCCACTCGGGGGGCTTCACTGGAGCTCCACGGCTTTCAGGGGGAGGTTTTCCACAGCATAACACAGACTCGGGGGCGCTCGAGTAGCACGAGAGTGCGAAAAAGCGTGAGAAAATCCGCGAATGAAAACGATATGGAAATGTCAAATATCGATTTGCAATAGAAAAGCCTCTTTGTCGCCAACTAAAATCCTCCTAATCACGATTTTCCTGGAAGCAAGGCACCGATAAGTCGTGAGAAAGACCAAACGGCGCACCACTGAAGTGACCGGAGTCGGACGAGCGCTCTAACCTCACTTCAGGGGTGGATCTATCTTCCCGGAAGCGCTCTGCACAACTTCTGATGACAATCTCCACCTGCTTTTCTTGTAGTCTACAATGCAAATGTAATTGGTATGAATCCAGCTGACTTGGGAATGGTGTGGATGGGACATAATTCGATCATAATGGACGAAAATGCCACAAATCCATTCTTCGCCCAGACATCGCTGCCGTCATCAATGGGGCTCTCCGTGATGGATGACCTGAGCCAGCAGACGCAGGCCATGGTAAATTTTGGAGTAAGAACCCCTTGCATTTCTGTACATAAATCACTAGACTTTGCCTTGATCGTTAAGGTGAATTAGTACTTTGGAGAGAAAAAGTCCGTGGAAATGCAGCAATTCGAACGAGATCTGAGAAGATCGTGCAGACTCACGAGTGGGCGGAGCTTTTCAGAGGGTGGGACTTACAATTGCATGATTCTACAATTAAAATTAGCGCGAGGAAATTGAGAATTTCTAACGATATTTTGTTGCTCAACGCTTCGTTGAGATAAAAGAAATAGAATTTCAAAGCACTTAACAAATAGTGAAAAGGCTTTTATTCTTATCATGAGAAATATATCGAAGTTTATATACAAAATATATTTGTAGATTTCACGTAAACCCTTTAAGACTAACAAGATTTTTAGTGAACCATTTAATGCTGATTACAGTAGATTTGAAAGTCTGTAATACAATTGCTTCTGTCATTAACCCCATATTGCTGCATTTCTCTGGATTTTTGTAATTCTAAGAGAATGCCTTGATGGATATGTTTCTCACAGAAATTGCTTGGCTTCTGCCAAACTTGTGACATTCTTCCTCATAAGAAAGGTTTCAGAAACAATCTGCTAACACTGGATACACACGAAAAAATCCACACTTTTGCATGTTTTCTGCATTATTTTTTCTGGTTCTTTTTCGGTAATATTTCTTTTATTTCTATCGTATATTTCTTTAACAAAATTGCCAACAGTGATAGTAAAAGTATTAGATTAACTCGTGTGAAACACAGAAAGGTGCTGCTGAGGATTGCGTGGTGTGTTGTGTGGTGTGTGAGATTGAATTTGAGCAGCGAGAGATGCAGTGGAAAATTTTTCGTGAATGTGTGATGGAATTGCGGGATTTTTATTGCTTTTTCTCATGATATCACGAGCGAAGGGTTGATGAGAACGGGAAGGGAAGGCGAGAGAGAGAGAGAGAGAGAGACAGAACAGAGATGATTGAATAGTGGCGCGAATGAGTCCAAGAAGTGGAGGAGAAGATAATTGTAAAACGTGGATTTTTCTTTCTCTCTTTCTCCCCCCAAATGGCGCGTTCGATCACATCCCTGCACAGGACGTGAGTCCAATGATGGGTGTTGTGTCTGATTTCTCGAATGGTCAGGCGTCGGCTCAACTGTCCGGGGAGCAGCAACAGCAGCCGCTGTTCAGTTTGCCGGCGCATGTGGCGGGTCCGATTCAGGTGCAGGTGGCGGCTGCACCTGTGAACAATTGTCTGGACGCGACGGCGTATAAAATCAATCCCATTGCCATGTCGGAGTTGGAGACGGAGAGTCTGCAGGAGCACTTTCAGCAGCAACAGCAGCAGATTCTCATGAATGACGAGCACCGGGCGAGCTTTCGGTATCGCGCGTCGATGGGTCTTGAGAACGGCGTTGAGATGGTGTCGGATTTCGATATGAGTGACTTCGTGATGCAGCAGCAGCAGCAACAGCAGCAGCAGGAGAACAGCAGCGATGAGTACTCAATGGGAGCCACGTCGCCGAAACACCAGACGATCGCCACGCAGACGAGTATGGAGGGCAGGGACACCTTCAGGAAGATCAAGCCGGTGAAGCGGCCAGGATTGGTGCTCAAAACGCCCATTGCCTATGAAGGCAATGTCGATCCCTCAGAAATTCCCATCCAAAAAGACGGCATGGGTAGGTTATGGTTTTATTTTACCTTTTTTCTCATTTCTAATTACATTTTTGCTGTATTTATGATTTGACTTAATTTTTTATTGCAATTCGATATTTTCTTTTAGAAGAAGATTTACAATATGAAATCGCGATGAAGTTTTGTGGGATGAATTTCTTTTGTTTTATTGCAATTTTATCCCGAGAAATCCATTGAGAAAACCCCCTCTTGTACAGTCTTTAAGGACACATGCACATAACATCTCTCTGTTCACTCAATTTGGGAGGAAAGAAATACACCTGTAGATAATGAAATAATTCACTCACAGTCTCTATTACACATGATCATGTTCATATTTTAATTATTCAATGCTATTGCACTGCTTTTTCAATGTTTCTCCTAGAGCCCCCTTAATTTATCCTTACAGACATATAATTGCAAAATACCACATAGAATTTATGTACATAGATGTTTAGATTGTAAGTAGAATTGATGGGATTCATCACAGGAAATAAGACAAAATCACATACAATCACTTTCTCATTGATTAAAATAATTTTCTCCCCTTTGTCTTTGCAGCTGTTTGCGAGAAGTGCGGCGCCATTGGCGTAAAACACTCGTTCTACACGAAGGAGAGACGTTTTTGTAGTATGTCCTGTGCCAGAAACTTTGGTGTAAGTCCGGATCGCAAAGTGGGAATGGACTCATCGACGATGGAGGACTTTGAGTTATCACTGAAGACGACATCTGTGCCCAATACGAATTACAAATTCACGTACAAGCCGGTGAAGGAGACTTCATCGAGCAGTGGCGAGTTATTTAGGGATGTAATGCCGCAGGAGGAGATGCCACAGATAATGCCAGTGAAGAAGGAGCCACTGTGTGCCGAGGAGGAGCGCATCGAGACGGTGAGACGTCGTCCGGGCGATTCGTTTGATTGGACGCCACAGTTGAGCTTGCCGGGCTTCGTGGCAGCATCCGTGACGTGCTTTCGCCATGTTCCGGGCTACGATGTGTGGTCTAAGGTGTCGGTGGGCATGAAGGTTGAGGTGGAGAACACGGACTGTGATAAGGAGAGTCAGACAACAGCGGCGGCTCTTGGATATGTACCTCATTCGTTCTGGGTGGCGTCTCTGCTGCGAATTCAGGGATATAAGGGTCTTCTGCGCTATGAGGGCTTCGACGATGATGCAAGCCACGATTTTTGGGTGAATCTCTGCTCGTCCGAGGTGCACCATGTGGGCTGGTGTGCCACGCGCGGGAAACCTCTCATCCCGCCCAAGACAATTGCGAAGAAATACAGTGACTGGAAGGCCTTTCTCACGAATCGCTTGTCAAACGCGCGTACTCTGCCCACGACGTTCTACAACAAGTTGAGCGAGAGTTTCAAGTCGCGCTTCCGGCCGGGGCAGCAACTCGAGGTGGTGGACAAGAATCGCATCTCACAAGTGAAGGTGGCCACAATTCAGAAGATTGTCGGCAAGCGCTTGTACGTGCGCTACTATGACGATGTGGATGACAATGGCTTCTGGTGCCACGAGGACTCGTCGCTGATTCATCCCGTTGGGTGGGCCACGACAGTTGGCCACCGGATAGCCGGTCCAATGCACTACATGACGCGAATGGGACAGGCGAATGATGCGATGATTGAACTCCTGACGGACGACGCGACGCACGATTTGTTCAAGATGAATTTCACCTACGAAGAGTACTACCTGGACGGAAAGGTGTCCAACTTCAAGGTGGGAATGAAGCTCGAAGCGATCGACCCACTGAATCTCTCATCAATATGTGTGGCATCCGTGATGGCGGTACTCAAGTTTGGCTACATGATGATTCGTATTGATTTCTATGATCCTGTCGCGAATGGAACTGATTGGTGAGACTGAAAATCTTCTATAGATTTTTGTTTAGATCTGAATGAGATGTTTTTGACTTGCAGGTTTTGCTACCATGAGAAATCTCCTTGCATCTTTCCCGTGGGCTTCTGTGCGAGGAATAATATCCAGCTGATACCACCGGCTGGCTATACAGTTAACAAATTCAGCTGGGACGAATACCTGAGGAGCACAGGCAGTTCGGCGGCTGGCGAGGAGTTGTTCAGCATGGAAGTGCCACATCACAAATTTCAAGTGAGTTCTAGAGATTCTTACCTAATTTCGTAACTATAATTCATTTAATTGTCATTATTTTTTGTTTCTCGATATTGGCAAAAAATTTCATTTTCATTTTGTGTTCTATAAAAGCCCTTAATTTATAGAGGTGATGATAATGGAAAATTCAAACACCATAACATGGTGTAAATTCGTAAAGTGGCATTTCAATAAATATAATTTACACGCACTGTAACATGAATTGAAAAGGTGTTATGCAGAACATAAAATCGTGAAATTATCCCCATGTTGCAAATGATAGTAATTTATGCGACGTGAAAATATCACTCAAGTAGTAATAAATGCCAATTGGAAATTGTATATTGAAAATGCCACATTATCAGTGAAATCTGGGCGTGGGATTGGATTTGCATTGACCATTTTCTCTCAATTGCAGGTGGGCATGAAGATAGAATGCGCGGATTTGATGGATCCGCGATTGGTTTGCGTGGCGACGATTTCACGCGTCGTGGGTCGCCTCCTGAAGGTGCACTTTGACGGCTGGGAGGACGAGTATGATCAGTGGCTGGACTGTGAGTCGCCGGACATCTTCCCCGTGGGCTGGTGTGTGATGGTCAAGCATCGGCTCGAGGGCCCGAAAGTGTCAGCGCCGGTGAAGCCGATGGTGGCGAAGAAGCGGGGTAAAAAGAAGATGAAAGGTGAGTCGGGCTGGATGTTGCGATGGAAGTGGCTAATTTAATGCCTATGTTTTTTTTTATTTGCAGGAGGACGGAGAGGCATGAAGAATCAGACGTCGCCGGCATCGTTGAAGAGCGAGAAGGAGGCAGTGGGAAGGACGGGTGGCAGGCGCACGGACGGACGACTGGGAGGTACGATATCAATCAAGAAGGAGCAAAGACATTCGGAGGACGAGGAGGACTTGAGTGGTGGCGAGAGTGACATATCCGAACAGACCAATCAAACTGAACATAGTGATACATCTTCATCGCTTGCGGGGGTGAATGCTGTGGAGAGGATTAAGCCCACCGCCCAGTCGTCCTCATCCACGTCACCTCTCTCTAATCCACCGTCAGAGCGGAAAGCGACGAGTTATATTAATGTGAGGATGAAACTTTTTTTTCCAACTTTCTCATGCACTGACGATAACTTTTGTACTTCTCTTGATCTCTGCAGAATTCTGCTGTAAGCAGTCCCAAGTATATTCCTCGACTCAACGACACCAGCAGTTTGCCAGACATTGCGACGGGATCGTCGGCGTCCAGTGACATGGAGTTGTGTCCGGAAGTGTGGAACATCTTTGATGTGGCGACTTTCCTGCGTGTGAACGACTGGACGGCGTACTGTGACACATTCAGTCGCAACAAAGTGGACGGCAAGCGATTGCTGGAGCTGACGAAGGACGAGATAATCACGATGCTCAGCATGAAAGTAGGACCGTCACTCAAAATCTATGATCTCATCCAGCAACTCAAGTGCAAACTCAATCCTACACAGCTGAGGCGGGGCAAGAAGTTTTTATAGTGCCTGACACTGATAGTGAGAAGACTCGAGAGTCAAATGTGTGTGTGTTGAGAGTGTAAAATTTGATAAAATTATTTGCCTCGTGGGATTGCAGCTGGTTGAAGCGGGCGCATGAGGGGGAGTCGATTGGATGCTGGCCGACAGCGTTCAAATTACTGGAAATTAACAGAATCAGGGATTAGAGGTAGATGATTGGAGGAGAGAGTGTAAATATGAAAATTGCCATATACTTATTGCACGGGGAGTAGCACACACCTTCGGGGCAGATGATAAACACATGAGAAGATGAGGAAGCATTCATAAAGGATAGAGAAGAGTTTTAAGGTAATTTTGCATAGATTCTCAAACATATTGTACATTTTCAGCATATTTGAGCAATAGATGAAGAAATATAAGTTATTTAGATATGAATTTTACCACATTTTGCGCAAAATTGCTATGAGAGCGGGCAAATTGACTGCTCTTAACCCCTTGTCTGTGTGATTTTTGGCGCATTCCAATTGGAAGCGGCTGGTCGGGAGGCCTTCCAATACGATGGTGATTCGGTGCGGTGGTGGGAAAGCGAATTCACCACACCGAATGCAACTCACCACGTCGCCGCGGCCTCTTCGCCTGCGATCGTGCGTCTTCGGGCGCTTGGGGGCGTTGCCAAAGCCCAGCTGGCAGACGCCGAAACGTCGAACGCCAATTTTCACCCGCGAGACAGAAGTAGTGCTCTGTGCACGAGGAGTGAAAAATTGGGAAAATTGGGCAGATTTTGCAAAAAGTGTGACTCTTTGGGGACTGCGAACGGATTTGTAGTGCTAAAGTGGCGCGGTGTAGTAAAAAGTGTGGGGGGAAAAGTGATAAATGTGTTTCCGCCCAGATCGCGGAGCCTTCCAGTATCGGTGAAATAGCGTCATCCACGGGGCCTCAGCTGTTTCCCGCCACCAGAAATCTTCTGAAAGTCTTCGCGATTTCACGCTGTTCGGTGTGAGGTGCAGTTTTTGGTGGAGAAAAAGCCATCTTTCTGTGAATTATTGGGTATTTTGGCCCTGTGAGTTTGTTTTTACTGTTCACCTGTGCTTAGAGGACACGGAATTGCGTATTGCAGAGCAATTTCACGCGACTACACATCGAGAGAAACCTTTTCCGACCCCGGGCAAAAGGAGAAGAGACATCTTCAGTGTTTCGCGGCGTGTGTTTGTGCAAAATGTCAATTGTGGGTAGCAAGAGTGAAGAATTTGTTGTGGTGGAGACAGTGCAGAAGCTGGACGAGAAGTTTATGTGAGTAGAAGGGCATGATTTGGTAGAATTTTCAGAGGTCGCGGGAAAAATGGGGTGGCGCGGCTGGCGTGTGCGCCGAGCGGCCGGGCGGCGCCGGCGAGTGTGTGTGCAAAAGAGCGGAGCTCCGATTGGAATTTGTGCCTTTTCTGCGTCGCATTTTGCCACACATTTACCTGCCGCGCGCGTCTCACATTCCCCCCGCACACACACGCACGGGCTCCCAATGCAAAATTCATACGTCGCAGGCCATCTGCGGACCACGTTTGGCGCGCGTGAGGCGGGGGCACGGGTGGTGGCGCCACCCTCGCGCGCCCTAGCACGCACATTTTCAGCTGTTTGTCCGTCCGGCCGTCCGTCTGCGGCGGAGTGCTGAGACGGCGAGAGAGAGCGCGTCTTGGCGTGAATTTCCGGGCACACAGCGCGGTCGAATCTCGACGCAATGGAGGAAAAATCTCCACAAAAGTGCGGCGTGGCTTTACCCACACGCACAAACGCGCGGCCGCATGAGCGGTGCCAAAAATAGCGATGCGAGCGGGCGAGAGCGAGAGAGAAAGTCTCCGGCTCGGTTCCCATATCGATCGATGCACCAACACGCCGACAGGGCGGCATCAGTGTGTGCGCGCTGCGAAGCACAGCGGGCGACGAGCAGCGTAGCGTAGTGGGATTCTCGCTCTCTCCCTCCTGCCTTATATCGTGTTACGTAAAAAAAAATGTCTCATTGCTCACACTCCTCCGCCCGGCGTCAATTTTTCAGCATCCACACTAATCAAATGCAAGGTATGGCGCCTCCCCCCACCCGCCGAGCCCGTCCACATGCTCACGTGAGTGCCATTTCGAGGGAATTCAGCGATGAATCACCCAGACAGCTGACTCTCGATTATGTGGAAAATGGCACTTTTGCCCATGACGCAATTTCCGGCGTTGTCGAAAAGTCGCACTTGCCGATGCCCACGGATCTGGGTGTGAGCAGACGGCGCGTGGGCGTGTGTGTGCGTGGGCCCTCGAAGATAATTTCCGATGAATGTCAGAATGGTAGGAAGGATCCTTACCCCAACTCCTTGGCCGCAACTAATTATTTCAGCTGTTCCGAGCCAGACGCGCGAGACCGTGCAAAGAGTCAGTCAACTGGTTGCATCATACGGCATTTGAGGCGAGAAAATAGTGTTGTGTGGCGTATAGAATTTTCACCGAGAGGAGGAAATGACACATGAATTGCAATAAAGTATAAAGTCAGACGCATTTAGTGAGTCTGCACTGGCTCCGCGTGGCGCGGCGTGACATAATTCTCCTGAGATGTCGCGCTTCGCCCTCGCTGTCTCTCCTCTCGAAATAGACATCATCTCTCTAATGACCCAAAACTGTCTCGATGTCATCGGCAGTATTGCAAAATTGTCCGACTTGCACATTGACAATTGAGAGAGTACACAACAATGTTGATTGCCGCAGTGGCTCTTTCCCGCCAAGACACTTGGCGCGCATTTTGCCCACTCAGCCAGCGCAGTCAAGTGAATTTGTCGCGGAGTTTATGATCTCACATGACGGACACAGAGCATGTGTGCCTCCGTAGGTTGGTTCAAGAACCTTGCAGATTTGCCTTGCAACATTAAGCACTAAAGGTACTCAATATCGAGGTGACACAGAGTCAACAGCGAGGAGTTCTTTAAAAAAAAAATGTTTAAAATAGGAGCAGAAAAGGACACTGCCCTCCAAATGTGACAAAAATTAATTGTCCATTGCAATGTCTATGATAATGACTTGGATGTTTTCTTTTTGGAGTTCTTAGCAAATCCTACTGGATTGATAATAATTCTCTGTCCCAGAAAACTGGTTACAATGACTGTTGGATATTTCCAATTTGTAACCCATAGGCGCAAAATTCTTATTAGTAGCAATTGCAATAAGAACGCATTACATTATGTGGATAGGAAACGTCATCGTCTTAAAAAAAAATAGCCAACTCCATTAAGCTTCACATTTTATAGCAGTTGCTTAGGTGGCACTGACAGTGACGTTAACATTTTAATTGGATTTCGCTTGAAAACACGTGGAAATAGTAAAATGCTGACGTCCCACTATATGACACCAATCCGGTAAAAATTAAAATGAATTTCATTGTTCAGTCAGAAGTTCTGAATTGTGCTAAAACAAAACTGCAAAGCACTGAGTCACAGTGATAACGATAAGAACGTTTGCAGTGTGCAACAATGAGGCAAATAATCGTGCTTTATTCATAATTTGTATATTGCTTACGCAATTGCTTGATGATGTCCTCGACTAGAACGACGCGCGCTCCACATTTCCTTCCTTTTGATGGTCAATTTCATATCATGTGCCGCAAAGATTGTTTATTCATTGTCGGCTGGCAATTGATTTCTTTTCTCTCTCTCTCGCTTGAGCCAATCAAAATGTTGTGTCCTTGGCTCTTGAGAGCCCGAGTCAATGTGACAAAAGGCGCAAAATCATTGGTATGTCAATGCATTTGAGAGGGATTGTCATCATGCAATTACTGGAGTAGTTCTTTTTGTGCTTCTATTCCGCAAATAAGCATACACGTCATATGTATATTTCATATGTATCAAGATCAGCTGATAGATGCCATATAGCACAATATGGCATGTATAAACTTCTGTGTAGGGAAAAAAGTAAGACAGAGACTGATATTTTGCCACCACATATGTAGATTTGCTCGGTGTATGGCTTATAAAAGTGTATAAATAATGCATTGAGTGCAGACTGAAGAAGTGAATTTAAATACTCTCCTGACGTCATTCGTCGGAAATACGGGTCTTACCCACCTTCTGCACCCCAAAGCCTCATTTAAAGTCCACTTGATCGGCTTGTATTGAGTGGTCTGGGGAACTTACAGTAGGGATTTCGGAGAATTGCCGCAAGACACTTTCATGGTTTGTCACCAACTGTGAAGTCAATTCGCTTGGTCAGGTGCTTATTTGTATATCCAATTTTCCCTCTCATGTATCTCACTGCTGTTGTGAAAAATTGTGGGAATTCACAGGCACAACACCCCATGTCTGACGTTATTCACACTTTCGAGCTCACATGTTTTCTGTAAATGGTTTTCTGAATAGGATTAAGTGACAACTTATTTGCCGCAATTGTTTGTAGTTAAGGTAACAATTAAGAGTCTATTGCAATTCCAAACTGGCTCTTAGCAGATCTAACTAGTCTGGTGTTTTTTTTTTTAATTAGTGGGATTCACTGTAAAAAATTGTGATGTGCGCAATTACTGTTGACTTCCATTGTCGAAGTTTGATTTCAGCTTCAATCCAAGTCAGTCGCATTTTTCGTCAGATCCCAAAATCCAATCTTCACAAAAACTCAATCTGGGTAATTTTCAAAGATGGCCAAGAATTGTAAAACCGGATTCATTTCCGATCTTGCAATGCATCTCATGCAACGCACGTGGGCTTAAAAAATTAAGGTCTGTAGGTAGTAATCCAATATCTTCGGCAATATTTCACTCCACCTGTAAATGTCACTGTAAAAGTTTAGTGATAAAAGTGCGTTTTTTCCGCGAAAAATGGGTTAATTACTGCATGGCTATCGTGCGTTATATGGTTTAAATTTAATTAAATGGTGAATGGATGAGAATATTAATATCGGAAAGTGTTATAAAGCTGTGAAATTTACTGGGCGGTATAATTTCTTTTATTATTCAATTTGAAACACCATTTTGCCGTATGTCCAATATAATCTAATTTGCTGTGTAAACAGGCAAGTGTAATATTTGTGTCAACATTTACACTCATATAGTGCATACAGCAAGGGGTTTTAATTGAAACGCACGTTTCAATTTTAACACAATTATTGGATAACGCTTTAATGGTCGTGAATGGAGTCAATTTGTAGTTTCTGTTTGTGGGGGGCTGCAAAGGGGGAGCGCGTAAAAAAGCGTGCAATGTGCAATAATGCATTGATGCTGACACACAGGGGGAGAGGGGAAAAATGCAGCGAGCTGAGTACTTATGGAGAGCTGCACATGATAAGAACCGGCGCCCGCCATGAGCTCGGGCCCCCACACACTCGAGAGAGCGCGGGAAAGGCATTGTATCTCAGTGGAAGCCGGCTCACCAACATCATATGATCGATTATATGGGATTCTATTTTCGCAACAAATTGCTCAGTTATTAATTGTGTGGCTGTGCAATTTGAAGTGTGCACTCTATACATGCTCGGAGCGCCGAGTTCAAAGTCATGCGAAAAGAGAAGTTAATAAATGTTTCATTCTCTTCAGGTCTCTCTTGGCTTCAGACATTTTTCTTTCCCATTTTGCCTTGATATCGTTTCGATGTGCATATGGACTTTGAATAAAACGCCTCCGCGAACTTGATACTTTTTGCCTGGGTCTCTTCTGTCCACTTTTACCTCCTCTGCCCTTAGCGTCAAAGGAGTTCACATGCAGACTGAGGTGGAAACTCTCTTTGGCTTGGCTTGATTAAAAATTTCTCGCCCACGTTGACTTTTTAGCTAACGAGAGTCAGGAGAGAAAATATATTTATCTAATTTTACCGCGTGCTGCAAGTATGAAATTCTACTTTCGTGGCCGTTGATACATGAGGAAGTCTTGTGTCTCTTGTTAGTCGTTTGATACAGACGATGCCGCCACTTTTTTTCGTCTATTTTCGCTAATGCACTCGGTCGCGTGATTGTATTTTGATTGAATTCACGTGATAAATATTTCATCCTAATTATTTCCTATACATTACCGTAAATAAAGTGAGCCATTAGAGAGAATGTGAAAGGAATTTGCAACATAAGTTGTATAGGCTCAGTTAGTCTACAAAGTATCAAGATAGGTGCATCTTTAGCAGTATGGCAAGAATAGTGGCGTCCAGTTTTTTCTATCAACTCCCACCTTCGGAAATTGGCTGAAACGGTAACAGAAGGTACTGCCATGCTCAGAAGAACGAGGTGTATAGGTGCGAAATAGAATAAGCATGCGAAAAAAGTGGTGAGACAAGCGGCGGCGCTTATGACAATTTTCTTTTCGCGGTGGATGCCAAATGGTGCCGCCTGTCGACAATCCCAAATTGGTGGCGTGTCGACGCCACCACGTCGAGCCAAAACCGGTGAGTTTGAAACTTAACCTACGCAACATATGACGCGTCCTCACATGTCTACCACCTCTGCATCTTTTGACCACATCTCTCTGTATGTTTTTTTTTCCTTCTGGCTGCTTACGTGCTATTTTCATGCCGACTGATCAAATGGCTGCATCGAGACAGAGAGCCAGATGTGCGTATTTGATAAGATGTATGGAGGAGAATAAGGAAAGCCCACGGAGATTGTATTTAGTGAAACTTATTCAATTAATTCGTGATGCAGCGCGGCTTATATGATATACATGAGGCCGGTGTGAAGCTTTCTCTCACTCTTGCAGAGAGACAATAAGGCAAAGACGCGGTGAAACACTTGCAATTGGGCACTCATTTGGCACAATTCCAACTGTTTCTGCCTTCATTTCTAAATGCGACACACAACATGAGGAAGAAAGATGCGGAATTTCGATGAAATCAGGACATGAGGGCCTTTTTTCTCTCTTCATCTCTATACATATGTGGCATCCACGTGACATGCTCCCAAAGAAAGCGGGTGCGAGAAAGAAATCAGAAAATGCGAGATTCTGCCCAGTGTTGATAATTCACATTGTCACATGTGGTGTTGTGTTATAAGGTAACTGAGAAGCGCGCGAGAGAGAAAAAAGAGTAATTTTCTTATAATGTAATTTATACTGTGAAGCCATGAAATTATGGCGCCACCTTGTCGGTTGCTATTTGCACAATTGGCACCAACATCTATTACATTCTAAGCCTTACTCCATCCCCCCAAGCTCATTTCCCGCGCGAGATAGATGTGCCCAGATGAGATGATATAGGCGAAGAGACAGCGACACCCAAATGCTCCGGAGGAAGTGCATTAACCTATGAGAGGATTCAGATCATTTGACTGGCACTATTTTCGTTTGTAAAATAATGAGCACGTATGTGTGCGTTTATCTTGAAAATTCTTGACATATTTAGAGAGTGTCACTGAGCGATAAGATAGGATATTTTGCAATTACGCAATTTTGACACAAATTGATAAAACACGCAACACATTTGCCAGTCAGAGAGTGTCGTTGATACTCCCCCTTTGTGTAATATTATTCCCAGTAAAAATAATGGAAATCAATATCCAAAAATCTGCCATGAATGGAAGACCTTTGACAACAGTGAGGAGAGACAATATTCAATCTGTGAAATTTGAGGTACAATATTTCATAAAGTGTATGGCTTTGTGAGTATGGAAAGATCAAATACAATGTGTAAATTGAAGGCAGGTTGTTTGCTGATGGGGAAAAGTGCCTAAAAGTAATCACGTAATTGTAGAAATTATCACATATCATTATTTCTTGTGTAAACAGTGATTTTGTATAGTTAGTATAGCTATAAAAATATTCAATATTGCCTCCTATCCATTGGCATATCTCTATCAATATTTTTTATCCGGATGCGGTAATAGAGGAAAAGTGGATAGAATTGCGTATATTTGGAAAACAGAGAAGAGCTCTCTTAAATGTGAAAAATTGAAGAAGTCATGGGGCTATGTTGACTCCAGAGAGCAGAAATAAGATCAGAGTTGTATTCAATAAAATTCTCACTCTTCCATATACTCTTCTTCTGAACCATCAAAAGCTTGTATAGGCATCTGATGAGCCTAAAACTTGTTACTGAATTAGATGCCCATCAAGTCAAATCCATCTCGATGTAAGTAGAAAGCACTTTAGATAAATTTGAATTGGTTGAGCTCCTCCTGACCAGTTTACCAAGTCAACTCCATATAGTATTCCAATTAGGTGGAGACAAAACAAGATAATTGGAATGGAAAATCAACCGAAATTGTCAATATACAGAGGCAGGGATTAACATCTCTGCGGCTTCTGATAATCTTGGGCTCCAGAGGTGTGTGTGCGCCTCATATGGATGAAAGAGGCGTGGGTGGAAAAGCGCGGGAGACGTGAGGTTTCATGGTAAGTTTGCGTAGGGCGAAAGCGGAAGATGCAGAGAACTGGAGATTTCTCAATGAAGGGATAAAAGGAGAACAGTGCCACAGAAGTCAATGGCCAGCGCAATACATTCGTTGGAAAGTGTGCTGCGCGCCTTATCGCAGGGTGTGGCGAGACCATGAGAGAGAGAGCGCGCGAGATCTGGGCACAGTTGGGGTTGATGTACTGCATCCAGGAATACAGCTTGTCTTTTCGGTGTGGTTTTTTCGGGAAAGAGATGCTAGAAACTCATTCCTCGGACTTAACAGGTTGCGCGTTACGACAGTGTCGAGAGGTGTGAGGAAAAGGGGCAATTGTTAATCAACCGGTTGTACGTTATGAAAATATTTTGGGATTTCTATGCCGCGTGTTGCTCATCGAAAATCACATGTGAGTGCGAATTGTGGATTTTGAGAAATAATCAGTCTTCGGCGCGGCACTAAACACTGAGGCGTGCTTCAAAAATAATCACGCCCTAGAAATGTGGATGAGCCATCGAAAAGTCATCATGTGAGAAGAACTCTGGCAGCCAAGAAAAATCATTGAACTCACATCGGGGGCTTTTTTATATAACGACGGTACAGCATCATGTGAGATGTTTTCACCGCGCGAGTCTTCATTGTCTGTCCTGTGCGCGCTGCTCAGCTGTAAAAAGTCTCAATTTACTTGTGTTTTAGTACCCTTTGTGTGTGATGTTGCATGTTTTTGTTTTGGGGCCGCGCCGATGAGACAAGGGCCAAAAATCTAAGCGTGGCTTGTAATGCCCAATGCAATTAAAAAGTTTATGGTGCAGAAAAAAGTGCAGCAAGAAATTCAATGACACATTGTCAGTCGAAATAAGATCGGGTTGAGTAATTTCACTCAATATGAGGCCACATAGCGATATGTCCAATTAGCCATCGCGTCTCAGCTGATGAGGTGAATTTGCAACGAAAAAGCGCGCCAAGACGGTGTAAACAAAAAGAAGGGAACGAGAAGGAAAAATTTTCCGACAAATTGATCATTAATCATGATGGTGAATGAATAAAATATTACAATGAACCATACGTCAATGACGAATGAAGGTGACGTGCGATGGGTGACCCAAAGTGATCAGAATTTTTCGTGTGTGCGATCTGACTCACGTGAGTTGTAGCATCAGCACAAGGTAACGCTGAATGTCACTTTTGGGTGGTCGGGAATGTGGAAAAAGATACGCTTAATAGACGCAAAAACTCTCAAGATGAATCAGCTGTTTCTTGGCGCTTTTCGTGTGAAATTAATTTTCGGAAATAGCATGAGACCTTATTCTCGGGTGTATCCGGAAGTGGCGCACATACCTTTGAGAGACTATGGCTTTGACTCATTAGGATGAATGTACATTGCGCAATACTGCACTGCGCTCGATCGCGCTTTGATGAGTGTGTGTCACAGTCGAGAGAGAAGAGATGTTGTGCAATTTTTAGCTGGTGACGGCAAGGCCTTCTTTGCAAAAACGAGGAGGCCGCCGTGGCCCCAAGTCTTGTGGTCGATGAAAAGCCATGTCAAAGTGGAGGAGAGCCACTTCATGAGGTACAGCACTACAACGCCTGACTCAGTTGCGCGCGTCTCTCGTTGGACAAAAGCATCTCCGCGAGGTGTGATCTCTCTGGTGTTTTAATGAGTAGCACAGAGTCTGTGAATGAGAATTAGCGAAGTCTCGGACGGGAATTAGAGATACCGATCGCAAGTGGCTTTGCCTCGTGAAGGAGTGCGCGCAACACCTTCGAAATCTCTTTGTTTATCAACAAGTGTCTGATATAAACAGATTTTTGTGAAGGTTCCATTCACCTCTAAAAAGAATACGAGATTGTCAGTGTCGGAAAATTAACTTGATGCTTGGAAATTACTGTCATTTCGCATCGAAGCTTATGTAAGTGATGTTTAGGGACTTTTGTAATAATTGATATTCAAGTGTTAATGACTAGAGGGAAAAACCACTTGTACAGCCACTCATTATAGCCATAAAGTTGTTTTTTTTGGGAAGAAGAAATAGTAATTAGGACCTTAACGGAAATATCTGTACACTTGTGAACTCTTCAATTTTGCTTATCATCTTCGCCATATGCACAAGAAATACTTACTATCTAGCAATTCTTTGATGTTCTCCCGATATGTTGGCACAATAGCAGCGCTCTTTTGATCCGACATGGGGCCAAATATTTCCAAAATGAATAATTGTGCGAATTGTTGGCAACAGCTGTTGAACTGTTCGTCCACACTTTGCGGCCATTTGATAGGTTATTGACCATACACACATTTCGAGATTTGTTGGCTATATTTTGCGGGCGATGGCGATATATAAATTGCAAGCAAAATGGTTTGGGAGAGGCTGGGTTAGTAAAAGGGAAACGGGTTTGATTTATTAATTGATGCGAATTTCCATTTTCTTCCATCTAATCGACCAAGTGAATGTCTTGTCACCACCACACAACACCATAAATTATATTAAAAACAATTTTTTGTACATGCCAGTGTCCACATGCGGCAAAACTTTCTCTCGTGCGTTCTATCATAGGCACTTAATTGGACATTTATTGTAAATGCGCGAGCAATTTCAGCCTCTTTTTTATCTATACGGCGCAATATTGCATTTTTCACCTCACGCGCTTCTCTTTTTTGCAGAATTACACAAGAGGACGGCGGCGGTGGCGGTGGTCATCATAACACAACAACCACGATGATTGATAATGATAAGAAAATGCGACGCCAAATTGCGAATAGCAATGAGAGACGTCGAATGCAGAGCATCAACGCTGGATTCCAGAGCTTGAGGCTACTCCTGCCGCATCACGAGGGAGAAAAATTGAGCAAGGTACGTGGCACACAATAAATCCATCATCATCATTCATCAAAGTGCGAGATGAAAGACACGATCGCGATTTTCGTCGATACACATTGCTTCTCTGTAACATTGTTGCTAAATGGGAAGGAGGTCAGCTTTGTGCTCTCTAGAGGTGCTTGGCATTTGAATAATTTAGCACCTACGAGAATTGTCATTCATTCTGAACCTTCTGAACACTTTGGCGGATGTCGTGGGAGGTGTGCATAATTTCGGGTGATATTTTTACTCAGCAGGGGTGAAGCTATTAGCAAATGATATATTTCCAAAATTACTGTCACTGCACATTGACAGCGCATTTCAAATGACTTAACGGTTGGCGAATGGATAATTTTTCAAATCCAACTATTTTCGTATTTAGCGTATATTTTAATGCACTCTATGAGCGTGTGTCAATGAACTGTGTGTTGTGGTATGAAGAGAGCCGAAAAAAACGGAGCGATATTTGTGAATGAGGTGAAACTGAGTCACAAAGTTTGAGAGAGAGAGAAATCCTATAGTTATGTATTTTGCAGATTGAGATGAAATGGTGGAGGGTGAAAAGCTGTGTATATATATTGTTTATCGTGGTGGATTGGAAATTGTATCAAAAGTTAATTGGCGAGACACAATTTAGCTTTTTCGTTGAAGCCGTGAGTGGAAGTGATTTGGTTGCTGTGTTGATGTGTGCGATTATAGTAAAACAAGTCTGGTGCGCGACTACCAGTGGAAAAAGCGCTGAAACTGTTGAATGAAATGAATGAAACCCACTCAGAAAATGTACAATGAAAGAGTTAAATGTACTCTACTATATGCATTACTACACAACTCGGGAAGAATGTGTTTGCGACGTGAAACAGAGTGAAGGGGAATGACGCGGGGAGGATTACACCACACCCATAGACAACATTCGAGCTCTTTTATTATTGATTCATCGAACTTTATTTTTCAGGTATAATATCTCTTCTCCCAACCATATGAGATTGTTCATTGTGTGACTCGTTATTTTGGGTGCATTCGCTGCCATATGTTTGTAAAAATTTCTCCCTGTGCATCTGAAAATGCTGCCTACACGGTTGAACAGAGTAGAAAACTGGCAAAACAAACTGGGAAATTTCAGAGAGAGAGGGAGAGAAAGAGAGGGATAGAGTGAAAATGTATGGGAAAGCGGTGTGAATGATATTCTCACTCAGTAACTCTCTATATAGGCTCGTGTACGAAGTTGTGGGAGAAAGAATTAAGGTATGAGAGTATTTTTCAATTAAAATCATATATATAAAATCTCATGTCTGATGAATAATTGAATAAACGTACAGCGCGATTTTATCTCAAAATGAGTGATAAATAACACAAACGGAAAGTTATTTATGTCATTGCACTTCTTGCCGTCAACATGTGCCTCTCATTTTTTCTCAGACCTTATTTCATCACAGCAGTGGAAAGATCTAGAGGAAAATATTTTGTTTTTATATAGCGGTCATTGGTTTACACTTGTATTTTTGTATGACTCAATATTTCCCGGCTTAAATACCATCGCGCATGTTTGTTGGCATTTTATTTTTAATATTATTTTACATTCAGCATTTTGCGAAGAATACGGGCATTTGGTGAATTTGAATGCAGTGGAAAATGCAAGTTGGCGATGTTGTGTGTCCCAACGAGAGATAAGTGTGTGCACGCCAATGAAAATCAGAGAGTAAATGACATAATAAACATCAATTATTGTGGAATTCTCGCATATTTGAAATTTTCAATTTCATTCACACAATTTTCAAGTCTGCCTGTCTTTGAGTGTGGTTGTGGTGGAAAATAACGAAAATAATATCATGCTGTATGGGAGAGTGCTTTTAAAAACTTTACACAAAACAACTTACTCGCCTTGTGTATATAGTCATTATGCAATTACTTTATTTACGATTTAAGTACAAACACATTTCTGCATAAATATGTTACTAAATAAGGCGAGAGTGAGATAAAAGTGCAGTGAAAAGACTCAATGGTTCATTATTATTTTCAATTTTGCATCCAGACGGTGCCATAAGTGCCATTACAAGTAGATTATCGTTGGATTTGTGCATTGTTTCATATCTTATGAGGTCAAATAAATTATTTGTAACTGAATTGTGAGTGGAATTTCTCGCAAAACTAATCTTTGGCGGATTTGCAAGGTGTTTTAGAATGCAGAAGACACTGCAATTTATCTGTTTCTAATTGCTGAGTCACTACTAATTAGAAATCTTGGATTACCGGCGCCTCTTCGAAGGTCCTTGACTATCCCATGATTCAGTACAGAGTATGATATCAAGCACTTAACAACATTGTTTCGCTCGTGATGTGATGAATACGTCGGAATGAACAGCTGTTGACTAATTCCACGATGCTTTCATGAGTATTTCCTAGTTTGCCTGACAAAGGGAGAGATAAGAAAATATAGAATTTGCAGTAATAGTTCTCTCATTATCACTCGAGTTCACCGCAAAATCCTTTGTTCGTCTCAATGTTGCCGTTCGCTGAAGATGAAGGTTTTTCCTCATTTGCCAACTGACATCCAACAAATGATCATCATATTTTCCTTAGAGCTTCACACAATGTTTCTTCAACTCGCAGTAGTTTGCAGCATGTGCGCGACTATGTGTAAAATGGGTGGGGAGGTTTGCTAATTTAATTTTAATTCACAATTGATGTGTGCCAATTAAGCAAAATCTATAAATATCACCTTTTTTTCGTCTGAATCGCATTGAACACATGGGTGATGTTCAATGAAAAAGAGCTGTAAGAAATGAGAGCAAAAATATTGAGATCACTCGAAGCCAGATACACGAGAGTGGCTTTTGGCGGTTGTGGAAGAGCAAAAAAAATTCGCAAATGTTACCTTCAAGTTTAAAAATTTCTGCACTAGATTTTGTGCGGTGGCACGAATTTTTCCTGTTGGACACACTGTGCGTTGTAAGTTTATCGGCTTTGATGCTCATGGGAAAGGAGAACAGTGAGAACATTGCGAGGGATATATTTAGCATAACTTACCAAGTTAAGATACATGTCTTGTTGGAGGCAGTCGCCCGAAAAACTTATCCTTCTGTTTTCCACTATAAACATGACCCAGTTTTCATCTCGTGTTTCCATTTTGACTGGCTAATGTTGCAATTTTCGTGGAAACCACACTGATATTTTTGAAATGGAAAATCCCTCGCAATTGATGCTGCATTGGATGCTTTTAATCGCTCTAACGTGGTTGTTATTCGGCGTGTGTAGTGATAAAATAGTAAATTCTTCGTGGTGTGAAGTGTGTAATTTTTAGAAATTCTCAGAATGAATTATCTGGGTAGAGACATATATGCAGGAATCGTGCGCGAATTTAAAAACAACTCACTAATTGAGGACAAGGTTGTGCCATGTGCTTTTGTCTTGCCGGTTACCATGAGAAAGTGTAGTGGCAGAAAAAACGTATGGGGGAGGATTTTATCTTGCATACACCCATTGAATATGGGATTAAAAGTCGCCAAAGACATTTGATTGATACTCTCTACAGCTTGGCATTTGCTGGGGATTTTTTCTGAGCTCACATCGTCCTTGTATTTTTTGCATGAGGTGTGCAATCTTTTTTCAAGAACTCACTGGAATTCTGTTGCGGGAATAAATCTGTGCGGTGTGTGTGTGGAAAAACTATCAAGTTTAGGTGGGGAAGGCATGAGAATTGCACTAGAAGTACAAATAAGAATATTCTCGCAATAAATTTGAGCATTAAGTACGGTGATAAATAACAATAATTGTGACTTTGTATTGCCAGCACAAATAAGGTATTCTTGGTGGCTATAGCGCGAATTGTAAATGAGGTAGTTTAAAAAGATCACTTCTCGCGTATAGTAAATTCTCATTTATGACATTCGCGTTGATGGATTTGTTAGTATGCATTCTGCTGAGAGATGGAATTTCTGCACAGATACGGTTGATGTCTGCATAAGATACAACGTGCATGTGTGTATAATGACAGGATGTAAAAGTACTTAAGAAATAATTGAAGCAAAATAGCAGCAAAACATCATCACTTGTGCGTTCTAGTCTGAAATTGAACAACTCCTCCATAATGTGTAGTATAGAGAGAATCTCAACCAGTCTCTCATTCATACATTTCAATTCGAGACTACACTTGAAGGAGGAAGTCAGTCGAGACAGACAGACAGACGTTTTCTTAGCTTTATGTACGATATCTTATTATATTGCCATATATATATTGAATGGGCGATGGAAGGGGGAGAGGCGCAGTGTGTTGGATTAATTAGTTGGAAAGAGAAACGAATTTTCTTGGTGAGAAAATAACTTATGTACAACGCAATCTAACAGAGACAATTCACGGGCGTTTCCAATTCAATACACAATTTCACATTTCGTTTTTCTCCCTATAAATCTCCCTACTTTTTTTTCTATTCAGAATCCAAAGATATTACACTATTTCTGGTCAATTATCATAATTCACCCAATTCTGCTTTGATAAAAACCGATGTCACATGTCCGAAATAGTAGTGTTATTGTTCATAATCATGCCAATGATAAGGGAACTCGGAGAGAATTACTACTGTAGCAAAAAGCGTTACGATAGAGTAGTGATTTTGACCTGTCTTTCGGCGCCAGCAAATACCGGTAACTGTACGATATGGTGTATAAAAAATTGAGCATAGCTATTATTAGCACAGGCGTATCAAAAGCTCATTGAAAATTGATACACGTGGGCTTCCACTACGAATGTATAATTCAGAGCGAAATTTTTTATCAGTGGGAAAATCAGTTTTTGCTCTGATTCCACGAGAGAGGATGTTTGGTCACAAAAACACACTGGGTTTTCGGTGCAGATGCAAAAAATCGCGCATGTTTTGATGAGTAGAATTTCAGTAGGAATGAAGTGTGTTTAAGAATTTGCAATGAATGACAATGGCAACTAATGAACTTGATGAAATATTGGGGATTGAGAATGTCAGCTTTATATGGCTAACCTTAGA